GTAGGTGCTCATTGGCTATCCGCAAATCTGCATTCTATGCCTTTGGGAGTTGACGCAGAGGGACTCCGCCGCCGAAGTCGTACTTGCGTTATTCTTCTTCGTCTCAATGAGCATAGCTTTGGCCTGGGCCTCGCTCAAGGTCTTCCGGATAGCCAAGCGATCAGTTACCATGCATAAGAACCCTGCCTACATCCTTTACTCCGATCCGTCCGCTCTCAACAAATGGGGTTTCTTATATGTCCAATTCCGTGCTACAGCCTACTACTTCATCATGCCAAGTCTGGGTTATATTTTGATCAAAGCATTGTTTATTGCTTTTGCCCAGAACAGCGGCATCACTCAAGCCATTGCACTGGTCGTCATCGAGGCTGGCTTCCTCATCGGTGTCAGCATTCTCCGGCCATGGATGGACAAGAAGACCAACGCATTCAACATCTCCATCGCAGCCATTAACTTCATCAACGCTATCTTCTTGCTAGTCTTCACCTCGGTCTTTAACCAACCGGTAAGCTTGTCCACATCCCATTGGACCCAGATTCAATACTGACACACACACAGGGGATTGTTACTGGTGTAATGGGTGTGGTTTTCTTCGTCTACAACGCCGCCTTTGCCTTAGTCCTCCTGTTAATGGTACTTGTCGCTACATGTTACGCAATATTCTCCAAGAATCCCGACACGAGATACCAGCCTATGCGAGACGATCGCGGCTCGTTCATCAAGTCTCAGACAAATCTCAATACCGAGCTTGATGCCCTTGGTGTCACTGCCCGAGGAGACATGGCCCAGAAGGGTTTCTATGGTCGTGACCTTGATGACGATGAAGACTCTTACTCTTCCGGGTCTGGAAAGATGGGTCATGACGCCGCGGGCGCACCTCTGCCACCATCCACCGCCAACTCAAACCGAAACCTCAGCGCGCGAGAGCCACCGCGTTCTCCCGTTGATCCGAACATGCAGTACCTCCCCAGCGATGGTACTCCTCGCCATGGACCGCCAATGTACAAAAACGACAACTCGAGTTCTCGTCCTGGCGCCGACATGCCATTGATGGGAAGACAACGAGACCAGTCACCCTACCGCCCGAATACTGCAGGTGGCTACAGACAGCAGAACAATACCAGTCCATGGCAGCGGGGTGCCGGTTACGATCATTGAGGACCACTTTACGGCCGCGGCGTCAGCATATAATAGATATTGATAATATTGCCTCGATGATTATCTTATGAACCCCACCATGGTTGAAAGAGTGGAGTCTGAGCATTTTCTCTTACCGCACTTGAGTGCTTCCGCAGGATTTTGGGACATGATGGGCTCGAGACCGCTCTTGTGGTGACGGTAATTGTACAATGGGGCGCATGGCAAAAATCAGGCATTTGGCGAGTTGAAGAGAGCAAGCCACGATGCATGTGGCCGCGTTGTTAGCTAGTCAATGTAGATAGTCAGAGCCAAATTCGTTTTATCGTTGAGCTCCCTTACGCCCATCTATGATGTGTGCTTTCATCTAATATGCCACTATCTCTTCACAGGCCCAGGTGCCCAGGCTTCAGGCTGCCACCCCTCGCCAGGGTTCCCTCTCTGTCGAGCCCATGGATTCTCCTTCTGCTTCTTCACTTGCTCACCCCTCTCCCCCTTCTCCCCCTCACTCAACTCCTTCTCCACCCTCTCCCCACTCCCCGTCTTCTGCCCCTCCTCCCACCTCCTCCCCACCGTCCCCTCCGCCTCTCCGTCTCCAACCCCCAGCTCCAAATTCCCCCTTCTCGGCTTATCAAGAACCGACGGCTTAGCAGCCCATCTCGCATCTGCCGCAGCAGCCAATTGCTTCAAATCGCGTTGGCGCCGAACATCTTGTATCTGTTCCGGTAATGAAGGGGGAGTAGGGCGAGTGCCGCGGAGCCATTGGTGCCAACTTGGGGAGATTTCGATGTCGGAGTAGGCGATCTTGGGGTTGTTTTGGAGGATGCGGCGAGGACGAGTGAATGCGAGGCTAGGCTTGAAGTACCAGAAGGTGTTTCCGTTGAGGTCGGTGCCTGTAGTTGTATGTCAGTAAAGTGGTTGGAATAGTAGGCGCTCCGAACGCTGGAGAGCATGTACCGGCTAGCCAGCGTCGCCGCCATGGTAGTTCTAGTGTCTTCCATTTTCGCCATATTGCAGTGAGAGGAGATGAAGAAGGAGCAGACATTTGGAGATTGAGTAGTAGACGTTGCTGGGATCCTCATTCGATATCAAAATGTCTAGTGGCGACCCTGGTCATCCCGCCGCGCTAGCGGGAGTTCATCAATCTGGGGAACACTGAGTTCAGCCTTGACACGTACCAAACATACACAGCACGCTTGAGTTCACTTTACACAAGCATAAATATGCACAGGCTTACGGATCAGCACTGGAACATTATGTACAACCAGTATTGCTAAACCTAGTATCCCAGCAAGACATTAGGTAGCATTCCTGTGGCCTGAAAACAGAGCAAGGTCAACCACCATGGCTTCGGTATCTTCCCTCGACAAGGACATGCGAAATATTCGCCTGTCGAAGTACACCCCGCAAGCTGCGAATGAAGTGAGGATATGGATCCAGGATGTTCTGGGAGAGCGGTTGGCTGATGGGGATTTGCTGGAGGCACTGAAGGATGGGATTGCACTCTGCAAGTATGCCATACGGTATTACCATACCTCTGATCGTACTGAAACTGACACAAGTCCGGCAGGCTTGTCAACCTCGCAGCCCCACCAGGTGTACGCTTCAAAGACTCATCCATGCCTTTCGTCCAGATGGAGAACATCTCTCACTTTCTCCGCGCCTGCCAATCGCCTCCTTTGAACCTACAGTCACATGATATTTTCCAGACCGTCGATCTCTATGAGTCGAAAGATCCTGCTCAGGTACTACAGTGCATATCCTCTTTTAGCCGAAGAGCCCATGCCGTACAGCCAAGCAAATTTTCGAGTACTATAGGAGGGGATAAGAGCAAGACTGGCATCATCAGCCCGCAGAGTACTGGAGGCTTTTCTGCAGCAAGATATGGGCGGCCTCGAGGCATCAGCAACTCAAGCGAGGCTAGTTCAGCTACTTCCCACCAGGCCTCACACCAGGCATCTAAAGCAGTAGGCGGACGAGGCAGTCCTTCAATATCCGACAATTATGCAGAAAAGACCGTCAATGGCGCTCTACCAGCATCGTCTTCGGGAGGCGTCAGTAGCTGGAGCAAAAAGGGCGATGAGGGTGCTACAACTCCGGCTTGGAACATCCATCAGTATGGGTATATGGGTGGTGCGAGTCAAGGAAATCAAGGAATCTCATTTGGAGGCCGGAGACAGATTACTACACCAGCACCCAAGGTCCCGAGCTTAGCAGGGAAGGAGCGCAAGAAGCGTGAGCAAGAAGCAGAGGATGAGAGATTACGACTGCAAGCTGACGAAGCTGAGCACAAACGGCGTGTGGAACGAGAAGCCGAAGAAGAGAGGGAGAGGCTTGCTGAAGAGCAGCGGTGGGAAGAAGAGACGGCACGAAAACGCGAAATAGAAAAGCGCCGAGTTGAAGAGGAGAAACGCCGGTGGGACGAAGAAGAAAGAAAATGGAAAGAAGAGGAGGAGATTAGAGCGAAAGAAGAGGCGGAAGCTGAGATCAAGACAGCGAGGCAAAGGCAAGGGAAAATCCAGCCAAGGCCACAACTCCAGGGTCAGTACCTCAGCCAGTACAAAGCGGAACAGCTGCAAAAGCCTCCGGCGTCTAGCGGAGAGGATCCCGAGCGAGCTCCAGAACGAGATCGAGTCGAAGAACTAGAGAAGCAGCTAGCAGAAGCCAAGGAGCGTGAAGCGAAGTATGAACGTGAGCGACAGGAGCGGTTGCAAGCAGATCAAGTTCGAAACCAGGAGGGGACCTCTTGGTCAAGCGCTAATGTACAGCAAGATCGCCCTCGAAGCAGGAGTCGACCGGCGCCAGCACATTCGCACCAGGACAGTGAAGACTCCCGGAGAGCAGACGAGCGTGACTATCTGAGGAAAGAATGGTCAAGCCACAACGCCGAGCCAGCTCCACCACAACAGCCTCCAAGACCCCTTCCAAAAACACAAGACCTTCTACCACCGCAGCCTCCGCGCCCCCTGCCCAGCTTAGATGGACCCCCTCAGCAACCACCTCGACCCCTGCCGACTCCTCAAGCATCCTCACCACCACCAATCTCATCCCTTCCACCACGCCCGCTCCCAAATCCAGCAAGCTACGCTTCCAGTCCCCGTCAACCCTCTCCCCAACGCAAGTCACCCTTCGCAAGACCTACATCACCCGCCATCTCCACACCGATTCCGCCTCCTCAGTCGCAGTCCGCCAGTACACCAACCAAAAAGCCACCTTTCGCCAAGCCATCCTCTCTCCTTAGCCGAGAAATGGAACTCGACCGTCTCCGCCAGCAAGAATGGGAAGAAGCGCAGAGAGCGACTAAAGCGGCTGCTGCTTCAGGGGTAAGAGAGGGTGGTGTAGGGCCTGGCGATGGCAGTTGGGACGTGAATCAGTATGGGTATCTGGGTGGTGATAGTCAAAACCGGGGCGGAGCGGGGATAGGATTTGGAGCGCGACGTCAGATCATTGGGCCTAGAGATCCACCTGGGAAGTCGTGAAAGACTTCGATGGATTATGAAAGGGATATGGGTTACGAAAAGGATTGAGCAAGCGTGGCATGTAATTGGTTTGGATGTTTCGACACCCACGCATTGATAGCTTTCCCAGCAGAAAATGCTAGCTACCAGCCTTTCCGTCGAAATTCTCGCAGCTTTTGGTCTATGCATAGCAGCCTTGCCCTCATGCTGTGAAACATAGCCCGATCCTGGGTATCATGCAACCAAAGCAACGGCTTCCGCACTCCAGCCTTCCTAAGAATGCTTTTGTAAACTAGATCCATCAAACGAATCTTCCCCCTCTTCTCCAGCCCCTCATAACAATTCTAGCAAGGGTCTCTCTCTCCGCTCAAAACATCCACCATTCAAGCACTCACATTCCACCGGCTACCTCCCACCCTGAAACGGCGGCATACCCTGCGGCGGCGGGAACCCGCCCTGCGGCGGACTCATCCCCTGCCCCGGTCCCCCCATCGGGGGCGGGAACCCCTGGAAGTTCGGCGGCATGCCTCCAGGCGGTGGGAACGGCAACCCACCGGGCATCCCGGGCATCGGGGGTCCATTACCGCTCGGCGAAGCGGCGGGCGGGAAAGGGGGGAAAGGAGGCATGCCGCGACCGCCCGGCGGGGGCACGAAGCCGGGCGGAGGGGCGCCGGGACCGCCGGGGCCGGGCATGAAGGGCGGCGGGGGCATTCCGGCTGTGAAGAGGGAAGGCGGTCTGTTAGCACACGTCGTCCGCGGGATTTTGGCAACGGCTCGGGAATGGGGCGGCGTACCGGGGAAACCAAACGGCGGGGGAGGAAAGCCCTGCCCGCCCATGGGTGGACCGCCTTGCGGTGCGAGCATGGGATTTGCGCCCGCTTGGCCTTCGGCGGCGTATGAGGATGTGATGGAGTCGATGACCGACTGAGCTTTTTCGTGGCCGATTTCTGCAGTCTGGAGTCAGTCCGGGTGTTGTTGTGTAGAGAAGAGGAGGGAGGGAAAGGGGGAAAGGGGAGTTGGAGACATACGTTGATAGTAGTCTAGCACGTTCCGCTCGTGATTTCGACCGCTGTTATGGGCTTTTCGGACGGACATGGAGTCGTGGGTGAGGTAGACATCGCAGTAGTCGCCTGTGGAGTTAGCGTCTGATGGTGAGAGACGAGGGAGGTAGAGATCCTACAGAAGAGTGCTTGGCTGTTAGTAGAGTCAATCAAAGCTGCGGGGAAGGGAAAACTTATATTTGGGCATATTGGAAAGGATTCGGCGGAGATCTGAGACTTGTATGGGTGTGCGGAAGCAGTTGGCGCAAGTGATGTTCAAGCTTGGAGAGCTTGCAGGAAAGGTTCGCGATTTCTCTATATCCCATACGGAGAGGACAGCTAGCGGCGAAATATCGTCCACTCATTGCTCATTACACTGGAGTCTCCCGATTTGTCACGGGTCCGTACTAAGGTAGCTTGCCTGCATATACAATGGTGACGGCGATGTCGCTCTTAAGGCTCGCCTAATCTACTCGCAACTGCTGTATTGGTTCGATATTCTACATCAGTGATCATTCTATCGTTAGTAGACAGGTTTAGCAATGTGATTCAAAAGAATGATTCAAAACGAAAAGGGTAATAATTCAATAGGCTAACCATATAGAGTAGTTATTAGCCTCGTCGATTACCCACAAATTGAATCACTGTTTTATATTATAAAACAGTGTTTTAATTGCAAAGTTGCCCTATACGGCGTTAGCGTAACTGCTTATTTAGACATACAAAATTAAAATTGCGGAGACAGTTAACAGCAGCAGTGACACAATAGCTCTACTCTCCACGGTCTCACACCAATTCACTCAGTCAGCTACTCAGCTAGTCACTCAGTCTGATATTCTGTAAGAGGAGGAATAATGCACTGCGGAGAGAATTGCGGAGACAGTAGCAGCAGCAGTAACACAATAGACCTGCTTTCCACGATCTCATACTAGCCCGATACTTAGTAAGAGGAGGAACCACTGTAGTAGGCAAATGCGGAGAATATTGCGGAGATAGTCAGCAGCAGCAGTGACATAATAGACCTGCTCTTTACGATCTCACATCAATTCACTCAGTCAGCTACTTAGTTAGTCACTCAGCTAATTTCTTAATAAGAGGAGGAGTAATGTAGTACGGAGAATTTTGCGGAGATAGTTAGCAGCAGCAGTGACACAACAGGTCTACTCTTTACAGTCTTATATCAATCCACTTAGTTATTCACTCAGTTAGCCACTTAGCTAGAGCACTCAGTTGAGTAAGAGGAGGGACCACCGCAGCAGGCAAATGCGGAGAATATTGCGGAGAGATTAAGCGATAATAAGGCCATCATCATCAAGAACACGGCTCAGCTCTCTAAAATCCCACGATATATGCTCTCCACGATCCCACGTCAAATCACCACTCAGTAGGCGGAGAACAACACTACAATTTAGCCTACTATATCCGCGTGCCTAGGCAATATCACATTATAGTACATCACTGCAATGAGCACACAAGAGAAGGATCTACTGCGTCGATTATAACCAATTAGACCTCTGCAGACAGAGGTCACCTATCAGACAATGCATATTTGAACGAATTAAAACCGTCCGATATCTTGTTTCGACAGCCATTTTATTATTCGAAAGTTTTTATTTTAATAGGAGATTTCGTGGGATGCACACCACTAATTAGCCCGGTATATCCATTTCTTTCCCGCATTCGAAAAATCATGCATACATACTTCTTGCCATAAGGATATGGCATTTCTCTGTTTTTTATAGGCAATTATCATGAGATACCTGCGGACACATAGATTAATCAATATCTTTTACACCACACGCATATATGAGTCAAACCACAATAATTCAGTAACATCGGTTTGCTCGTACTCCACTGGGGGGATATATCTATAACGTGATGTAGTGGCGATCACAGCCTAATAGCCTAGCAATATGACTATAAAGATCGTCACAACGAGGGCCCCATTATTGGAGGAGTTTATGAGGTATATATGTGGTGAAAGAAGAAGAATAAGTGAAATCCAAAGAGATTTGTGACTCTTCGGCAAAGGTTTCGCCGAAATCCGTGATATTACCTAATCGGGTTAGCGGTAGAAGGGTAGGGCTGTTCCCGCTTTGAATCATTCTTTTGAAATTCGTTGCTAAACCTGTCTACTCCTTAATGGTGTAGTGGTTAACCTCTTCCGTCTTGTCAGATTCCGTTTGTATGATCATCCCTTTCCTACTTAATATCCGTCAAGGGCGGGTCTGTCCTAGTCAAAGCTTTATGAGATCGGAAAACAATATTAATTATGATGGGTAAATACATACGGAGAGTCATAGCTAGCTTATCACTGGTGGAGCCGATATATAGAGACGCATACGGGGTATTGTCGAACGCGATCGACGTTATCTTAAAACAAAATATTAATAGTCGAGGCAGTTTTGGCCAATTGACTCTGGTATGGTTTGAAGAATGTGGCTTGGAGAGCTTGCAGGCAAAGTTAGCAAATTTCCAATGTCCCAGGACAGCTAGCGGCGAAACATATTCTTGGCTTTTTCCCATCTTCTCCTTGGTTGAGGATGGTGATTGTCATATGAACATTCTAGGAAAGAAGCATCTGCATGCTCCATCTATCATCGCTAGCACACGGGTATCTCATTCGTTGTGCATCCTGTTTAGCGCCTTGCTAAAAGCCATCTGCTCCGCCGTTCATGCAAACAAAGAAGGAAACCCTCAAGCCACCGTGAACAACACTATTCTCAAAACAGAGTAAAGTTACACCCGACGCTTAGTCCATGCATTCTGAGCGGCACTCGGCATGGGCCGGTAGACATTCGCGTGTACAGGAGGACGCCTGTCTTGGTTTACGGCCTTTGGTGCTGATCGTGGAAAGGGCCAGGAACTTCCTCCGGCGTAGCCTCCAAGGTGTCGGTTTGGAGGCGATCTTGAGCTTCGTTCACTGGGCCTATATCTGTTATGTCGAAGATCATCGTGGCCTGTTGCATAGTCTGGCCCATCAACTGCACGCCAATTGCCCCTTCCACCATCTCGGTATTGCTGATAAGGTTGTCTGGCTTCGTCGTTTCGGTAGGATTCATTGACAGTGGTAAATGAACCATGCCTGTTATCAGCGTACGCCTGTCTGTTATTCCGAGTACTTTCATATACTGGCGATTCATATCTGCCAGTGATTATTCGGATCTGTCCCTTGCGTACTGGCTCTGGCACCGAGATCTTAGGCCGGTAGAAGTTCGCTCGCTCATCGTCGCTATCGTCAATGTTGATGGGATCTTGCTGTGTTGCTTTTCCCTTGATTTTGATTTCACGCGTGGATTTGATCGACACTTGACCAAAATTGCCATCCCAGGTACTCGTACCCATTGATTTGTTGGGCCTCCGGGAGAGGCAATTATTGCCTAAATGGCCGGAGCGCCCACACTCATAACAGGAGAGCCGTACGTTTGCATGCGCCAAGTCGGACTCCCATGGCCGGCCGGATGTTCGCCAAATGAGCTCGCAATCCTCTTCGATGTGGCCGTTGCGCTGGCATAAGTCGCACACGATCTCATGCTTGGGCATCCTTTTTAGCTTGTAGGGACAATAACGCTCGTCATGGCCTTGCTCACGGCATCTCTCACACTTCGCATTATTGGGACAAGCCTGTGTCGTATGCCGGTTGAAGGCTCCACAGGCAGAGCAAGTGAGAAATTCGCACAACTCAGCCATATGACCTTCTTTTGCGCAAACAAGACATCTGATGGGTGTTTTCCCGTCGACTTCTTCACGAGCTTTCGTGGTGTGGAAATATCTCAGCTGAGTATTGAGGTCGTGTGAACTTAAATCAGCCAGGACATATGCCCTATGATTTGGCGGGACTGCAGTTGTCTTTTTGTTTCGCTCGGCTTCATCAGCAGCGATTTGCTCAGAATTTGAATATTGCATCATGGCGTCACCATCCTCAGATTGGCCTTCGCTATCCATATCAGAGTCGTTGCTCTCAGTGTCATTATTGCTGGCCGCACCACTGTCACTTGCATAAAGATCATCGTCAACCTGGTTCATTGCCGGCAACTCTTGTTTGATGTCTTGGTCGTTGACATCTGATGGCATTTCCTCGTCTCTGTTTCCCGAGTTCATGACTGATTCAATGTCATTATCTTCAATTTCAGATGACATATCTTGATTCCTGTAGTCCAAGTTTACCATCACTCCTCCATCACTTTCCGAAGTGCCCTGGCGCTCTTGAGACTTGCCCACTTCCTTTAGTGTCAGCTTCACATTGGCAGAGGCTGCACCAGCATCCATTTTATGAGCGTTCTTTGGCCCAAAACCGTGTCGAGGCTTAGAATTATGGCCTTTTATCCCGGCGACTCCTTGGGGGTGTCTTGCCTGTAGCGCCGAGGCAAAGAAAGATTGGTTTGGTGGCGGCGCGTCGTTAAGCCATGCGGCAAGTCGGCCATCTTTGAGATCCTGGAGGTTTCCGTCTTGTGTACATTGTTCAACCAATTTCCATATCTGGGCCGCTCTGCGTTCACTGGCCTTGATACCGTCTACATTAGAGCTATTTAGTTCGTTCAATCCTCTCTTGGCAAAAGCGAGAGGCAAGTAGTCCTCGGCAACAGGGAAGTATTTGCAGTAGTTGAGATGTATTTCAGTCTCGTGGACTCTCTTCTTCATTTTCTCATAGTTGTGAGTACCCGGTTTCATGTTGGGGAATGCTTTGAGGTAACCATACTGTTTCCGAGACGTTTCTTGAGTTTCTGGAGTTTGATACCGTTAGTACTAATACAGATCCGCTGGGGCAGGATTCCAATAAGGGCAAACTGACCGAGGATCTGAATCTGCGAAGAATCGGTAATTGTTGACCGTTGCAGGTCCCTTTGACCATTGGTCTGCTCTAAACCACCCGGCGACTCGGAAGCGCTTCTCTGTGCCGGCGAGGGTTGACCTAAGCGCTCAGCGCTACTCACACGTATTTTTCCCTCTTTGAGATCTTGTAGGGTTCCTTCCCTCGTGCACTGCTCGACCATGCTCCACATGCGCAACCTGCGTTCTCTGCTACCTTTTCTCTTCGGCGTGAACTTCCGCGCAGTTGATAGGGGAGGGGGTTGGAACGCTTCATCCACTGGAAAGTACAAGCAATAATTGTAGTCGACCTCTGCATCATGGAGTTCTTGCTGCGCTGATTTGTACGCAGATACAGGACCATCGTGGGGATCCATGGCGGAAAGGCGAATGCGGAGTCCCTTAACCCTTTCCAGTGCCACTGAAGTAGCTGCGAAAGACACAAGTCAGTAACTTCTGCAACTCTAGGTGGCCATTGATACCAGAAGCAGGATCGACTCACCAAGATCTCGACTTGGATGACCTTCAGCTTCGTTTCGGCCCCTACTCACCAGACTTGGTTCGTCTACGAAGTGCTTTTCCTTGCCGACCCTGCCCCCAAGAGTAGTCCGGATCTTTGTATTGTTGACGGCATTCCAACTTATAGGTAGAGCAACTTGTGCAACATGCGGTGTCATAATCTCGGGGATTTCACTGAGCATATTGGTTCCTTCACTCTCTTCCTCGACGTTGACATCTGTATTACTCCTTGTGGTAGAAGCCCCCTCTTTCGCAGTAGTAGTGCCTGGATCTGGAGCTCTCGTCTCCTCTGCCCGAGCTCGTTGAATTGATACCTTTCGCTCAAGGATCTTGTTACCAGAGAGCTGGGATGTTGCACGATCTGCTTCATCAGAAGTGGAGACGGTAACAAAGGCGTAGCCAACAGGATGACGCGTACGCGGGGTGACTGGGATGTTGACGTTTTCCCTGTTGCTCATAGTCAGTATAGCTAGCTATCTAGAAGGCATTGGAAGAACCACAGGGAGAACCCTCTGAAGAATTCCCTGAGATCTTCCACCGTCGTAGCGTAAGGAAGATTTCCAACATACAGGCGACGTCCGTCATTGGGACTAGTGGTAGCGGCTCCTTTTGAAGAGTTAGTCAAGGGAGGATCGCCGTCCAAGGAAAGACTCTCTGTCTGTACGATAGTGGCCAGTTGAGAGTGGTTGCCCTTGAGGTCCGGAAGCCATATATTCTGGCTTTAGTAAGCGTCAGTATAGCGAGCAAAATAAATAGCACAGTGACCCACATGGAGTATCCCTTAAAGAATTGTTTGAGATCCTCCTCTGTAGTGTCTGATGGAAGGTCCCTGATGAACAATCGACGCCCCTCGATGGGAGCCTTCTCTTGCTCCGCAACATTAGATTCGGAGACTTTAAATACTTCATCATCACTGAATGTCTCAGCCTTGAGGCCTATCTCCGCTTGAGAGCCGTCATCACCGCTGTCCTGTGCCTCGTCTACCGGTACGGCACTCGTGCTGAAGCTTCCCCCCACAGGTACGAAGTCCCTGACATCCTGATGCCCCAGCTTTCCAACGTGCTTAGCACGTTTTCGAGGAGTTGAGTGTGCAGAACCGGCATTGGAGGCGTCATCGCGAGAAACTACGTCGTGAGGCCGCTTGCGCTCGAGGGTAGCAGTGTGGGTGTCGGTATCTTGCTCCATTGGATCTGCTGCGTTGGTAGCCATTGTCTGGGCATGTCTACTGAAGAAGACAGTTAGAATTGTTGAGTGGAACACGCTATGGTCAAGATGCAGTATCTTGGTAGAAATTTTATTGAATGTTGACAATGATTTCGAACTGAGAGTAGAGCCAAAAGTACGCGAAATGACGTCCAATCGGAGCTAAGGTGCCAAGCCGGACGGAACTTCGGCCGGCCGGCGGAGACCTCAACCTTGCTTGCCCAGAAACAGCAACAGCACCCTTCATTACGAAGCTCTTCAGTCAACAGGTAGGTCCCAAAAAAAATCTTGCTGTCAAGTACATCTATCTCTCGACTCACGAACACTGCAGACTTACCATCTCTCGTTTCATCCATTAGCCGAGGCAGCTCTTATGATTGATATCTAAATAGGCAGTATTTGCATCCCCCAAGTAAGCAAGCACCGTCTTATTCCTCGCGAAGCTGTCAACAAGACTGCAACTGCCTCTTCGTCTTCTCTTCGGAGTGGAGCTTGGGGCCGGTGACGTCCTTCGTGTCTCGCTTGATTCAAACAAGACAGCTGCGTCTAGGCTTCAGCACTGACTGCTATACAGACAAACATTCTGTCCGCTATTTTATCCTTTGCCTTCTGTACGCTTGTCACGCGGACCGTTCAAATCCCAGCAATACCGCAAATCTGTCTTCTCTACTCGTCCCTCGGATGCTAGCCTTCACGCCTAATACCAAGCCTGCTCCTTCGCTGAGATCGTCTGGTGGAAAAAAGATGAATGACGGGAAGAAAAGTAGGAGGAGGCGTTCTAGCAGTCTGATATATCAGGAGCCACCCGAGTCTATTGAGCATATGAGCGATCAGTCGGCGTTGCCAAACGTAAATGCAGATTGGGTCAACGCAAAAGGTGAGCACGCCTCTAGTTCTGGGTCCTTCAGGGAGGATCATAGGAGGCAACATTGGATTCTGTGGCCGGATTCACATTCTCGCCCTTCCAGCCGATCGTTTCTATCTACCCTGCTGACACTTTTATCTCCATCAAGGAGCCTGGGCCATCCACGTCATATGCATCATTGGTCTCAAGCTCCTCTTCGACGTCATTCCAGGAGTCTCCCAAGAAACATCATGGACACTTGTCAATATCGTCTACATGTTCAGCTCATACTTGATGTTTCACTACGTCCGAGGTGTCCCCTTTGAGTTCAATGCTGGGGCCTACGACAACCTGAACATGTGGGAGCAGATCGACAATGGGGATCAATACACTCCGGCAAAGAAATTCCTTTTGAGTGTTCCCATAGTTCTCTTCCTTTTGAGCACACACTACACACATTACGACCTGACGTACTTTATCATCAATTTCCTTGCCGTTCTAGGCGTTGTGATACCCAAGCTGCCTTCTGTGAGTGACACGAATGAGCTCTCTGGGAGGACGACAGTGCTAATCAACCGGCGCAGAGCCATCGGATGCGAGTGAATCTGTTCTCGGGGGATCCAGAAGATCGTTAGCGTTGGAATCTTTCAGGGCGTTCAAAGGATGAAAGTGGAAAAGCGATGTGGCAGAGAAAACCAAAGCTCGGATACGCTCATTATGGATAGTAACTACACCGAGAGCCGTACTCTTGGCTACATCTGATATGCCCTCTCATTTTGCTACTGCGTACTCCATGTTGCCTATTCGTGACAAAGCGCCGTGAATTGAGGCTTGACACTTTGGAAGAAGGTGAGAATCCGAAATTTGCTCACTTTTAGTACGAGTGCGTTTGCCAACCGCGCACCACGCATGTCCTTGCCACCCGTGACGTATTAGCTGGGGTTTTTGGTTTCATGACGGCTACCCCTCTGCCCACATCTGCCCTCGCAGGACTTGGCCCGAACCTTTTCCCCACTTAATGAGCTTACAGAACCCCGTGTCCCCGTGTGACTTGCCAGTGATGGCTTACCTTACCGAAACTCATCCATCCTATCGGATTCCTCGCGAGTCTTGCTGGAGGGAACGCCCACAAGGCGTGGCCTATCCACCGTCTGCCAGTTTACAAAGGTCATTCCCCAATGTGCTCACTAACACTCAATCTATTGACCTGACTCGAGCCTAGGATGCTCGAATGTCGTCAGGGGACAGACTTGTACATCCTCTGCGGAAGCAAAGAGATGGCAGTCTATCGTGCCATAGTATGGTCGCAATCACCGCGTCTCAAAGACCTCTCCATTGTTGAAATGAGTCAGTACAGGGTTAGTCCCTGCATTTTGATGCATTACAAATGGTCATAAGGTTTTAACATGCTACAATTAGGAGGAGGCTCTGAGCTACGCGATCGACCTGACGCATGAGGACCCAATTTGCAGCCGAATTTCAGGTCTGATTACTCTAGTTCAGCAATTATTCACACTTTGAGGAATCCGGAGAGTTCGGGGTTTCCGGTGGCCCAGGCGCCCGTCTTCACGTGGTCGTGTCTACCCTGGCGAAGAAGTACAAGCTTCCAGCTCTGGCTCTGCTGGCGAGGAAGCATTTCATCGAAGCTGTCAAAGAGCATCGGGACACGGTCATTTTTCATTACGAGTGCATTCGTGTCATCTATGGAGCGCAGCCTGAACCTGACAGCACGTTTCGAAAGATTGTTGCTCAAAAAATGGAGCTGGATCTGGAGTGACTTGCCAAGACAAACGACTTATGGGATGACTTCCAACGTCACGTCCAGAACTTCCCTCTATTTGCTGGCGATGGCCTGGCAGCAATCTATGCAAAGCCAATGCCAAAGCCGGACCTGACTCCGGAAGGCGGACGGAAAGGGCCTTGGGACTTGGAGCCGGCTGAGTCGAGTTTCATCGTTCCAGCTGACTGGTAAGCATGTTTCGACAAGATCTTCGTACTTTTTAACGGTGACAATCCCTACGGCGCTGCTCTATTCCAGACAAATCCATGAGGAATCAAGAACAAACTCTGCTACCTACAAATCGAATTGCGCGCTGAAATATGGGTTAAAAATCTCTACACTACGCTGTTTGATTATGGAGCGGTTGGAGAGCCGGAGACCGCAAAGGCGCTTGGAAGGACGTCAGACGGATCCCTCGGGCAGTTTGAACTCGGTTCTGGAGGACACCTTCCGGATGCCCTCGAAGTCTTCAAGGAGAAGTTCAAAGACTCGACTGGGCTTGACTGGGCAAACACGTTCGATCAGCCTGGGGCGTCCAAGTACACTGACATCGAAATCCGATTGTATAGCGTCCTTGACGGGTGGAACAACCCCGTGAGCAAGCCTTTGCAAATCAAAGCTAACCATCACAAGATGATGTACCCACAGCCAACCTCGCCAACTCTCTCCGACGTCTCCAAGCCACGCACATCCTCACGCCTCCACAGCGACCATCTACCCGACCGAGCGGAGACCACGGGCTCCTCTTTCGCAGGAGCACCGGAGCCTCTTTTTCCAACCTGCCCGTCCGCCTCGACCGGAATCCCCGCGCCTCCCACCGAGTGACCGTCTCGGCCTCGGACGCAAGGGAAGAAGAAGACGAAGAAGAAGACAGGTAGGAATAGGGATTGGGAAAGGGGAGAGGTGTGTTTGCATCCGGGTAGATAAAACGCCGAGAGCGCGGGCAGCACCGGGTCGGATCATGTACATCTTTAAGCGCAGAGTACGTTAAGTATCGTACGGACTCGGAAGGTCTGGCCGGCCGAAACGTTACGGAGCTGCGGGATGTTGCGATGCGAGAGATGAAATGTCCGTTTCCGGCCAAATGCGACCCTTGCGTCGGCTCCACGCTCGACCGGTAGGACTTGTCTCGGTGGGGAGAGACGACTTTCTGCATAGACTGTTGAGCCTCAAGTTGTTATGTATAGAGTAGGACGCGCTCCTCGATGACAGGTTGTCAGCGTCCTGCATGCCTGTGGGCAGTCTCCTCTGTCGTCCCGAATGCCATTTGACGGATAAGCGGGCAGACTTTGAGTAAATTGGTGGAAGAGCCTTACTCGAGGTTTCTAGAGCAGAAATGACGAACTAAATTGGGTATCTACAAACAACTCCTTTCCCTCCCCAGAGATCAATCAAGCTATGCGCTTACACCTTCCTCGGTGCCATCCTCAACGTCTCATCCTCCTATCTGGTCATCCACTCAACAGCGACCCCAACACTCTCCCCAACCTCCAATACCTTCCTCACTTCCTCCCTCATCCTCACCCTCTCCTGTCCCTTTTCATCCGCCTCCGCGTTTGCGGCACCGTTACTGCCCCAATCAGGGCTTCCATCATGCACGTCCACACCACCAATGATTCCATTCAAACCGATCATGAAATTCAAGCCAGCCAATTTACCACCGTAGCGTGGATTTGGGAAATTGACTTGGAACTGGGGCACAGGGGTAGCCTTGAACGTGATCTGCACTTCCCTCACCTTGTCTGAGGGTGGCTTAGGGGCGTTTGGCAGAGGTGAGGACATGAAGGCAGCAAGCTCAGCGTCGAGCGTTTGAAAGGTTGTTGGCTCGGAGGGCTGATCTTGGGAGGTCGACTGGCCGTTCGCTTTCGGTGGAGTAGGTTCTTTGTCACAGTCGAACGCCCGGCGAAGAATACCACCTGTCAGAGCCCATTGGCGTAGTATAGGCAGAACGGCAACGATCTGTCTTGGGTGGCTAAATGGGAGGTGCGTGATCGCGCTTGCCCAATCTTGCTGTTGAGGGAACAAGCTGTATTTGTGTATATGTGAGGTCGATGTGTCAGTGGCCGAATCATAGCGCATGACTGTCTTTTCCATGGTGCGAGGGTCGCTGGGGGGGTTCTGGACTTCACTTCCCGCAAGTAGTAGGCTTTCGTAGGTGGTGGGTAGGATCAATTCCGGGGATATTGGCGCGCCAACAGAGTTCTGGACTTGTATGGCTGTTGGCAAGGGCAGAACCACTGGCGGTTCAAACTTAGCGACGAAGCGGACATCTGGTGGTTTGGGTTGCTGGAGATGATTTGCTTCTGTGACTGCGACGCCGCTCTCTCCTTGCTCGTCTGGGGGCAGGAGCGTTGGGGGAGGGTCTTGCCAATCGATTGATGAGTCGTTGCCAGGTAGGTCGTTAGATTCTGCTGGTGCTGGCTTCTCCACGGCTTCAGACACCCAGGCATCCGAAACTCTGATCGCAGGATAAAGCTCGGCGGAAGAGGCTTCGCATTCAATGATTGCTGACCAGATGTCCGTTTGGTCGTCCGGCTCGCCAGCTTCCTTGTTGTCAATGTCCATTTCGTCTGCCTTCTCCTCCACTCCGAGCAGCAGCCTCCTCTCCATCCAGTATTGCAATGCCACGCCTACTCGTCCCCTCGCATGCATCCTCGGTCTCCCACTGCTCCGGCACATGACCTCCTCTTCCACCACTTCTTTCCCTTGTCGCTTCTCCCTCTCAGTCTCCAGCCTCCACAGTTTCTCCAGGCATTTAAACACTCCATCCGTAGCATCAAAACAGCTGATCTTCTCCCCACCCAGTCGATCCATCCTCCCTAGGATTTCCATATTCTCCACAAACCCTTCCAACCTTACATACCCTTCTCCTTTCAAATCCCTTCTCAGCACCTGTGCCCCTCTGGCTGCCCTTCGCCCAACATCCTCTCCACTACCCGGAAAAGTCAACACGCAACCCTTTACTTCCTCCGCTTCAAATTCCACCTCGAGAAGCATTGCAGTCCCGGCAATGGTCAACATTCTCTTCCCTTCCCCCATTCCATCCTCCCAAAGTGCATCCAATCCCAGTCTCTTAGCACACCTCTCCACACCCTCTTGACTCACGAAGCCCCACCTCCCCGCTACCATAGCAACCACAGCCTCCATTCTTCTCTTCCTCTCCTCTTCTTGATCTTGGGCAGCTAGAATGCTGTTGATACCCCCACTACTCCCCGTCATCTGCATAGCCACAGGCGTGAAGCCTGTCCCTCTCGGCGTGAATCCCAGCCCCAAACCCGCACCGTTTGTAAAGCCATACTGCGGATCCATCAGCATGGCAGCTGCTGCCGTCGCAGCAGGCGATTCTGTAGAGCTCGTGGTTCCTGGTCTTGGCGTACCAGGACCGCCTCTGGGCGTGCTGCCGGGTATTTGCGCGGAACCATTGCGGTGGTGGAACTGGCGGGCGGGAGCCTTGAGGGCGGAAAAAGCTGGCGAGGTGACTGAGCGCGAGTGCGAGGAGGAAGGAGCTGGTGGAGAGCCCGCCGAGGCTGGCGTGAGGTGGGAAGCCGCGGGCTGTTTTTGGGCGGTTTGGGGGTTTGGGTGGGATGTCGGAGTCGCCATTGTGTTTGTTGGGGCCTTGCGTGTGGTTACCAAGTGTGGGAGGCTTGGACTGAGCTTGTGAAGTCCAGCATCCTTGCGGGACTGTATGTGGTCGATGTGCTCGAGGAGCAGCAAGGGCGAGATATGTTTGATATCAAAAACCGGTAGCGCATTCGGCTTCACGTATTCAACATTGAAGTGTATATCTGCAAGTTGCAGTGTCGGGGCAGCGATGACTTCCGCTATAATGCGAGTACAGTAAATGAGTGTGGTGTCATGAACCGAGATGTCTACTCTACTGTTCTACATGGGGGATTGGGTTTATAGGCGCTAGAAGCCGAAGTCAAGTATCGCAGACGCTGTCGTCGATCGTAAGAATACTGCACGGTCTATGATCAATTATAGGTTTGATTTGACTAGCTCAGGATGAAAAATACAAGCTCAAACAACAGTTCCCTCGTCTCGCCGTACCATTTCCTTTAATCAAAAGCCTGCATTGCCACCTCTTGTGCATCAACGATTCATAGTCACACCCGTTCGAGTCCACATGACCTCCTACTTCGACATCTTTTCATCGGGCAATCCTCCAAATAGCTGTAAAAGACGTATTAGTGGGAGTGAGGAGATAAAGTTGGCACTGTGTCACTCACAGTCTCCATCATCATGCCCGTAATGCGGTACGGATCCGCATTCGACGCAGGCCTCCGATCCTCGAAGTAACCTTTACCAGCCGCAGCACATTGTCGTGGAATTCTAACACTGCTGCCACGGTTCGCAATGGCCCAGCTGAACTTTTCCATACTGGCAGTCTCGTGCTCGCCAGTCATTCGCTCCGCGTTACCCTCTCCGTAGACTTCCATATGTTCAACATGGCGCTTCTCAAGCTTGCCCATCATGGACTCGATGGTCTTGAGCCCGCCGTCTTTGCGCATGTCGGCTGTTGAGACGTTGGTGTGGAGGCCGGCACCGTTCCAGTCTCCTGCCACTGGCTTGGGAGCGAAGGTGATGATGACGCCGAATTCTTCTGCGACGCGGTGGAGCATAAAACGGGCCATCCAAAGATGATCGCCCACTGGACAAAGTCAGCTCAAAGCGTTTGAGGAACAATGATAAGGATCGACGTACACTCAATACCCTCACAAGGACCAACTTGAAATTCCCATTGGCCAGGCATGACTTCTGCGTTGATACCTGAGATTTTGATACCAGCGAACAAACAAGCCTTGTAGTGAGCCTCGACAATATCTCTGCAGTATACCCTGCCGGTTCCCACAGCGCAGTAGTACGGTCCCTGAGGAGCTGGGAACCCTCCCTTAGGCCAACCGTAAGGCCTTTCGTCAAGACCAAGAAGAGTATATTCTTGCTCCAGACCGAACCAGGGCTCTTGTTTTGAGTTGGCGTTCATGAGTCTGGCGGCCTCGTGACGGTAGTTGAACTTGTTGGGTGTCCCATCGTGGTCCCAGCACTCACACATCACGAGGATGTTGTCGCCGCCACGGAAGGGATCCGGGTAGATAGCTACGGGGCGGAGGTAGACATCTGAGTCGCCGCTTGGAGCTTGACCGCAAGATGAACCGTCGAAGTTCCATTCTGAGAGCTCGCTGACGTCCTTGCAGGGCTTGTCGAGAGTCTGTTGGGAGGAACAAGTAAGCAGCGGTATTAGATATTTGCGGCTGTTGGGAACCCTTTCAGAGGCGAAATTGAGCTGCTTGCCAAGCCTCACGGTGTCACCCGTTTGCCGATACGAGCGCTTCTGTAGCTTCGGCCGCACCGAGAATAGCTGGAAGCCTGCATTGCGGCTGTACGTGGGGGCAACAAGTAGAACACGTACCTTGGTCTTGGAGCGAACACCGTTCTGGCCATCAATCCAGATGTACTCGGCCATGCTGTAGCCTTTCTGATCGAGGCCCATGTACTTCATGAGCTGAAATCAAAGTCAGCAATGGGCAAGTTCTAGAGAGCTGGGAGAGCTTCCAACTCACATTCTCCGTGTTGGAGATGGTAGTTGATTCGGCCTAAAGGGTCTGTCAGTGCCTGGAAGCTTGCGTGACCGTCTTGAGTAGCTCTCACCATGTTTGCGGGTGTTTACTGCGTAGAACTATATGGTAAGCGGAGTGTTAGGCTTTGGAGCAAGGCTATCAAGGTGTCTGGTAGAGTGAATTTGTGACTGAAGGAAAGAAGAAAAGCAAGGGAGCTGCGAGGTACTTATGGATCAGGGATGAGAAGATCAAAGTCAAATATTGGTTGGGGACAAACGTTCCACGAGGCATCTAAAGCCGTTGCTCTGCCCACGCTATCGTTAGCCACAGTGCTCCCCGGAAAAAAAGCATGTAAAGAATGTCAGATTGAATCTTCAATTGCCACTCTATTATTACTATTATAAGTACTATCATTGCTTCTCTACGACGTTGGTATAATCTATTTGGTTGTTTTAATGTCTGTGCTACACCTCCTCGATGCGTTACTACGGGTGGTGGCAGCAGGCAGCCTGCGGCCAAGTGTAGGGAGGCATCTGCTCCGACTAAGGTAGTAGATCGGGTCTAGAGATAGCATTGGATGGGACATAGAGATTGCCATGCATCTCTCGGTGGGAAAGCCAAGATGTCGAATGCTAGGACAAGCAGCTGCTGAAACGCAGCAGCGATACTTGAGACTGTGATGTCGCTTGCCCCTCAAAAAGCACCCCTCACATAGCCCGATAAGGAAAAGCCACACATGCTCTTATCTCCCCCTTGGTGTCCCTGGACCGTCATTGCACGTTCAGTAGCCTCATCTTCGAAGCCGAATTGCGTCAGACCACCGTAAGCTGATACTCCGCAATAGCTGCATCTCCGCGTTCCTTGCTCCTCGGAAAGGCTATTTAGGCCTCCAAGCAAAATGCGATGTTGCTTTTTCGGTCTTTGCATCTGCAGTGCTTGCTCCTTAATATTAATGTCGATCATAAGCTACTTTACCATCATAATTCATAAGTAAAGTATCACGCACCAACTCCGCCAAGACGGCGTTTCTCCGCCTTTGCCGCGCTTTAGTTGGATTGTTTATCGTGACAATCTGATTCGTCATTTTCTCTATTGCAGTCATCCTCATTACTTTCCTACATGTACAGAGCAAGGAACTCTCTTGCTAACATCCTTGCATGTCACGTCATGACTTTCAAGAATATCGTCCAAAGTTTAGTATTGTGTATTTGACATGTAATCACAGCCTTTCCCAATGTTCCATCTTGCACCCACCAACCATCCAGAACCCCTAGTGGTTGCTACAGTATCTACTTGTCAAATAGACCGATGTGATGACTCCAACAATACAGCTCACGCTTCTACCTGCGAATACCGAGGACATTACGACCTCAAGCGGTAGATTGCAGCTCCCTTCAGCACATAGAAAGGAAGATGGTTAAGCTGTGTCTTGCAGAGTGAATCAAGCCACACGAGCCTGTGATCGGCGGCTCGATTTGAATGCTCCAGAGAGAGATATCTCTGTACTGAAAGTTAGTTCTTTAGAGCTCACGATCCACCGTTACATGAAATGTGCATATATTGAGAGGGTCCTCTTGAAGGATATCTTATGACGGCCCATTTACATAGAGCCAACCGATGAAGCAATGGTGAACGACTTTTCTTGAAAATAGTTCGGAAAGCAGTATCTTCGTAGCGATCGGAGTGTTGTCTGTCACTTGGACTTAGAAGTCAGTGTGAGCTTGTGGGCCTTGAGACGGGAGCAAGTGGGATGGTAGGCATGAAATAGTACAAGCATCCCTTATATTAGCAAATACATCTCTGTACTATGCCTGTCAGACAGCCATCAGCGCGAACCCTATTCAGTCGGCCGAAGCCAGACACAGAGACAAGAGATGAGATCATCGCGACTCTCTTTGTCCATTGTGAGCAGATGAATGCAACAGTCCGAAGACTCGAGAGAGTATGATCAAGTTCTGCTTCTTGGCGCTCGCTCTTGCACGCTGATCTTTCCTTGTCATCAGCCAGGCAAAGCAGGAATGTGTGGAGCAGATCAAAGATCCAACAGCAGACATCGTGTTATTCAATCGACCAGAGGTAATTGAGAGGGGCGAGATCATCGCGACTCTCGACTCTCTTGGTGCGTCCAACTCATCGAGAGTATGGGTAAAAAGGCATGAGGCTCACCCCTGAAAACCAATTCCCCACACGAGAACTCTTTATGTCTTGATGCTGTCAGGCTCTCATCAGCGCCTTTCCAGATCACCGACCGAGGTCGAGAATGGACTGGATTGAGGTCACTGCTCGTCTCTTTATGCAGCCAAGGCGGCTCAATGCGTCGTCCAAAGACGCAAGAGGATAGGTAGAAGCCACGATCAGTATTCAATTCTTTGAGCCCGACGTGTGGTGCTGGTGCATTCAGTCATTATCAAGGTAGCGATACGCATGAAAAGCTCTTCTTTTCATACAGATGGAAGCAAGACACTCCGGCGAGATCGCCATTCTCTATGCGGCACAAACAGGCCGATGCATAGTCCGAAGATATGCGAGAGTATGGCGTGAGTATGTCGATAAAATTAACAAGGCTCATTTAACATGTCGAAGGATGATCATGTCATAAGTGGTGAAGACAGTTTGCAGATAATCAATTGGCATGCATGACGCTAAATATCTACGCTAAGCCTGAATAGATTTCATGTCTCTAGATCTGGTAACTTCTTCGCACAAAGTGTAGACTTGGAGACTACAAGTCAGGGCTGGGGATTTGGCCGATTTCTCAATTGTCGGGATCCACTTCCTCCGATATGGTGAATTTGCCAAGACCTCCTCACCAAGGTCTATCCCGCTGTCCTATTTTGTGGTAGTATCATTGTTCCTCCATCGGCCTATCTGGACACTCGACGTCGCTGTCGTTATGACTTCCCAGAGAGGTGTCAAGCCCGAAGCTGACACTCAGCAATCAATCCTCGATTCCAGGGAGCTCTTGGAAGACAAGGCTTTGTACGAGCGATTGATTCTCCAAGCCAATGGGCTTCCACATAATCATGGTTTTGGCGTTGCTTCCATATTCTTCGGGCCCATGAGACACCAGCGTTGGTGGGGAATATAGTGTACCTAACGTACATTGACGCAAGTTGAGTCTCCGGCCACTGAGACCAAGTTAGCGCCCAAAACCTCTCGATCAGCTCCAGCCCTCCAATACTACATGAAGGAGAGTCGTGATGCTTACAATCACCTAGAATCTCGTTGATCCAAACCTGACTCTATTGCCACTTAACTTTAAGAGAAGAATGCTAAGCCAGCGCGGAATCGACGTTTGAAGACGACAATCAAAGGCGTTGTACGATTACTATCTGGTAGCGAAAATCGACAGACACAGAAGAGGCACTTCTAGGATTAATTAGACCTGAACCCCGGGTCTTGAACCTCTCCCAAATGTATAGAAGCAAGCATCGTGCCGTGGGCTCTATGCTCATTGTGATGCTCGATTGTCTTCATGGCTTCGTGCAGCGATTCAGCCTTGAGACCAACAGGTACTCGTAAACGAGACTATTTCAGCTTTTGAGGGCAAATGTCTGAAGAGTCAGTCCACTTGGTTGTTTCAACTTCTAAAGAGCATTGTGGAGGTATCATTTTTAGCAGTTACATTTCAGCTGCAGGTGCCCATTTGTGAACACATGACCCAATCATTTCATTGTCGTTGTAGGTAGATAGAAGGCAAGACTTAGCGAAGATTCGCGATCTTTAACCTTAGCCCCAGGAAGCAGAGAGAAATAAGCTTCCGTCCCGGGGTAGAGCATAGGTCATTAGGCATCATTAGCGGCGAAGATCAAACTGCGCCGCGCCTGAGAAGACGAGAAGAGGCCAAGAAGTTTGCTGTGTCTCAGATGAGTCTCCTGAACAAAATATATTAGCTCTTGCTGCTTCTCCAGTCGCGATTCTCTGGCTCCCCTTCATCGTCAAGTGCTCGAGTCAGTCGAGCGCCAGAGCTGCCTGCGCTTTACCAACATTACCTACAGTCGTCAATGACGTTTTGCCCCGGTATCAATCGGAGTAATACTAATGGTGACAGCCCGACAACTAGACACCTTCCAACAAGTCCTTCCCTCTCGCAAAGAGCGCCGGATCGAATGCATTGTGATTCGTCGCATTTCTTCTCTTGAACCTTTGAGCTGATCCCCTGGAGGTATCACCGGCCACGACTGCTCTCATTCACTCCTTAAGTCGTCGAATTTCCCCCTCTTCCCACAAACCATCTGGACCATGCCCTATTGGTGGAAGTGAGATCAATCATCGGACGGGCCTTTCTCTACCATCCACTCCATCATCGCTCCTCACGATGCAGCGGAATGCACGGCCGGACGGCCTGGAAAATCCATCCTCTATGTTTCAGCGAAACCACAGCGCGTCCAGCGAGCGAACGTCCTCTTTTTCCGGATCCTCTCTTACGTCTCCGCCTTCAGTAAGCCCTGATCCCGCTTACATTGCTCTATCCGCTGCCTCCCAGATTGTCAACACTGATCGCGCCGACCGGGGCTATCTCGAAGGGGAAGGGATCAAGGTGGAGTTAGATACCGCAATTGTCGCGCCTGGCTCAGTCGCTCTCGTCAACGGCTTCCTGGATCAGCTCTTGTACAGTTTTCTAGCCAACTCACGATCAACCTCCATCGCAGCTCTCAGGCCCGCAATCCAGGAAGTTCTAAAGCCAAGACTAGCAAAAGAAGCCATCCAAGGCGCGGACGAGGAACTGGAAGGCTACATGACTGGAGGAGATGCGGAGGAGCTTCTTGCCTTCCACGGTGGTCAGAGCTTTCGAGGAGATTATGATCTGAATCTCATATGGCGGAGAACCCGACTGCGATGCATGGTCTACACGCGCTTGGGAGATATGGAGGAAGAGGACGAGGAGACATACCTCGAACAAGAAGAAGAGAATGCCAACGAGGGACGACGGCGCCTTCATAGGGAGATTGGTTCGATCTCGCCAGCAGCAGCCATCTTTTTGACATCTGTCTTGGAGTTCATTGGAGAGCATGCCATGTTGCTGGCCGGGGAAGCAGCGTACAACCGTTTCCAGACCAAGGGACCGCGGCCACACTATCCACGAGCAGTAGTGGAAGAAATTGATATGGAGAAGCTGGCTTTCAATGGGACGTTGGGACGCCTCTGGCGATCGTGGAAAAAGCGAGTCAGGTCCTCCAGTCTTCTGAGTCCGAGGCCAGCTTCTCTTGGACGGCACAAGACATCTTTCTCAAGTGATTCCGCAAGCAGGAAGACCAGCATCAGTGAAGGAGACGGATTCGGGTATTTCGACCACGTCCAGAGACCCTCCGCAATGCAATTACCGCCACAAGAAAAGGAGCCAGTCCCGGTAGCTGCTCCGCAAGCTTTGGACCTGCCAGAGGAGCCATACTTCTCGGATTTTTCCGCTGAGACTCCTGATGCAGAGAGTGCCGACGAAAAGCAAGGCCGGCGACGCAGCATGATTGAAATTTCAAAACATGGTAGCATAACGCCGACCCAGACCCCGTCTCAATTGTCGCAGCCCAGTTTTTCAGTGCCATCTGGCTCCGAGGAACGACCAGTACAACAGCGCCAGCGCTCTTCGTCTGTTCCTGTCAGGCAAACACCCTTTGGATCACCAGTGGATGAAGCTTTTACCACACCCCGCGAACGCCCAGATCCTTTAGAACGCGATTATGACCGGGCTGATGCCGAAAAGGAACTACCACGGCTTACGGATGACTCTACCAATGTCCCAGTACCTGCAGGCGACAGTACAGCCGTGTCGACAATGTACGATGGGACCATCCGCAAGGGAATCGAGTCTGCTTCGGAGGAAATGTCTCACCAGCCAAGTCGTGGTATGAGTACCTACACAGAATCATCTCTCAACACTGATGAGTATGATCATGAATTAGCGCCTCAAGCTCTCAATTTCAACGGATCCTCCGCACCTACCGAGACAATAGGCAATGGACCAATAAACGGACTTCTTCCCGATTCAAGAGATAGTACCGTCTCGAGCAGTTATAGCTTCCAAAGGAGCGAGATGGATCTTGTTGCGCAACCAAGGACTTCGGACCAAATCTCAGATAGGGAAGAGGACGAGTCTGAGGGTGCTGCTTTTCCAAAGCGTGCTGATTCACTGGACCAGGAGAATGACACAGGTCGATCAGGCCACGTTGGAAATCTCGCTAATCTGGCAATGCTGCAAGGGCACCAACTTCGCACCTATGATGAAAGCGGGAAAGCTGTGAAACGCGACATTCCTGTACTCTATGAGGCACCATCTAACAAAGATGTGATTTACAATCCAGATGCCAACGTACGCTCCAGCACAGGTCCGCCAGATGAAAGTGGGCTTCCCACGCCCACGGGAGCAGATAATCAAAATGTTGAGCCTGGGCCGAAGGCAATTCCCAGACAACAGGGCGTTCCTCTTCTTGCGCCACTACAAGAGTTGATGGACGCTGCTCACGACACCTCTGATGAAGCGTCTTCCAATGCTCCCAGCCATGGCACACCAAGAAGCGATGCTTATGTGCCGGCCCATCGCTCCCAAGGCTCTGACAGCGTCAGGACTGACACTCTCTCAGCGATACACTCAACTGCAAGCCAACCCTCAACAGCTGTGAGCAAGTCGGCTGATCTCCGAGCTCAGCCAATATCGGTAAACACTGGCACAGAGCGAGCTGCAGTGCAGAGGGTATCTCCAGGTACAACACCGCTTGCCAATGGGAGAATATCAACCAGCAGTATTCGAGAGGGGCGACCAGTGACTGCCAGCTCTACTACGTCGCAAATGTCTTCAAAAATCAAGGGCATGATAGGCCGGGAATCTGGGGATCTAATTCGCCAACCAATGCCACGGCGCAACTCGTCCGATGGCAGCAGTAGCTTGGTCAACGGTATCCAGAGAGCCCCGAGATCTGCAGACAGGGAGCAGGACTTTGAGGATTTAATCAAGAGCGACGAGACTGTGAAGTACACACTTACACCACAGAACATGCGCGAGATGGAGGTATGTTGTGATAAAGCAGACATCGATGGTTTCGTTACTGATGTCCTCTAGACCCCTGAATCCCCGCAATACCAAACCCACACACGGTCCGAGACTCAAGGATCGCTCACGGGGTCGCTGAACGGCATCAATGGGCTGCGCGCCAATCCCACCAATGTGACCGAATTCGTGAAAGGCCCGCCCTCATTTGAGACCACGAGAAGTCCACCTCAAGCACCACCGAAGTCTCCGGGAGTACGGTCTGGTCGCGTAGCAGCTCCTCGTGAAGCAGACGCTAAAGACCACAATATGAGAGACTTCGCCGACTTCATTCGATCGACTGGTCCGGATAGTGTACCAACGCACGCAGCGAGGCCGGTAACGTCGGGCACCATGAAGAAAGAGCGCCCAAGCAGCTCTACATCACAAGTAGGACCTAAGAAACTCACGAAGTCACCTTCCGTGACTTCTCCCAAGCAAAGTTACATCAGCCCACCTCCAAAGCCTGAAATTGCTCCAATGCGGACTGCATCAAAATTGCAAGCACGTGAAGCCGCCGTCACCAATAGCAACGCCACCGCCGATCTTGCAGACTTCCTCCGCTCAGGTCCTGACGGTTTGGACGCTCGTCGTAGTGCACAACGACCAGGCGCCGACATACAACCCGCCACGACCTCCAATGGCTACGTCAATGGGAGACAAGCAGTCGGCTCTGGTACTTCGGTCGCAAGCACGCAGGATAGCTTCGCCGCATCCAAAATGACCCAATCATCTACCAATTCCAGGACAGGTCTACTTGATACATCGAACCGAGCCCAGCCCTCCACTCCCGAAGCTGGTAGAAACAGCGGCGCCCCATCACCACGCAGCATCGACCCTCCTCCCGGTCGAGCACGCAAGCAGCGGCGTGTCAGAGATCCCTACGCCATCGAATCTGACGATGAGAACGACGACATACTACTACCGCCTGAACGCGAAGAAGAGTCACTCAGCGACTTCCTCCGCAATTACACACCTCCCCCAGCTGCAGCCACTCGCCCTCCTCCAATCGGCATCACTGGCGCCCCCAAACCAGCCAAACAAAGTGTCACCTTAAAAGAACGCATCCAACGCAACATAGCCGTCATCCCTGATTACCGTCCACTACCGCCCAAAGCTCCCAAGAAGCCCTCCTCCGCGAAGTCTCCACCTCAATCCAATGAATCGCGCAGGAAATCGCAGCGCCAAAACTCAAACACCTCAGCTTCTTCTCCCCTCTCCTCCGGCTCTCGGCCATCCGCTCACCGGAACGTCAGTAGCGGCAGCAAAGCGCCTCAACTCCCTCCGATCAACCCACGCGCTATATCGCCCCACCTCGTCAGCCAAAATGGCACTAAGATGGACAGCTACAGACCCACGCAGCCAACGTACGCTAAGCATGTGGAGCGTAGACCCAAGCAGCAATTGCAGGCGAGAGAGGAGCATGGGGCATTGAGCGGACCACCACAGGGTGGAGGCATGGGCGACCTGGCAGATTTCTTAAGGGAGACGGAACCACCGCCTCCCAGTGGGCCGGTCGGTGGAATGAGGCCGTTGAGTCCAGCGAAGGAAAAGGAAGAAAGCAGTGGCTTTGGAAGAATGTTTGGCAGGCGGAAGAAGGAGGTTAAGTGATTTGTTTCAAGATACAACCGAAAGGGAAAACGAACGAGGGAAGTGGGGTCGATTGTACCATGTTGATGCCGATGTTCATCAGACTCGACGTTGTATTTTTCTTACTACTACGCCGTTTGGAGAGATGTGAGATGAGACGGCTGGGAGTGGCACGGGAGCATGCAGTCCTATTCCCCCTTTGCAGGCGTTGATATGAGTCGAGGATGTAAGTTCGTTACGATCTCGTGTCAGATAATGACGGCGGTGGTCTTTTTCTTTCACGAAGACACTGGTCCGAGCACGCGTCCACTTCTTGTGTGCAATATTCCGTAGGAGGGGGTTTTGTAGGACCGGGTGATGGCGGTGGTTCCCGTATGTGTGTAGGTATCAAAATTCATTCAGGAGAGATGTCACATTTGTCTTATGAGGATCTGCATGCTCGGTGAGATGTGCTGCCCTCTACGTTTACAAACATGGTGAGCCAGAAGAGGACGGAGGGTAAGGTACAAGGATGGCTTTCTCGCTAAGCGCTTGCCTGCTTGTTTGCGTCCAAGCAGAGAGTTAGACTCATCCCACGCTCACAGAATAATCCCGCTGCCGACTTCCGTTGCGATTAGTTCTGGTTGGCACCCTGGAAAAAGAGAAATTGATTTCGTCGTGTGCTCGCAGAATTCCACGCACGCTGCCGATGTCCGTCGCAAATTTCCCGAGACGTTGCTGTCATTAATGCTCGTCAGAGCTGGTGGGTATTCAAGTACTGGGTCCCGGAGCTAAAAAAGGAGAATCGAGCTCGTCGTGTGCTCGCCGGATTCCACGCCGCCGATGTCCCATCACAAAATTTCCGAGACGCTGCTGTCGTTAATGCTGATCGCAGCTGGTGGGTAAGTTTTAACCCATCCATAGCACCTTCCCACCCAACGCCCAGCACAGTCCCATATCCATTTCCTAGTATTATCTGGCGCCTACCTAGCCAGTACCCAGCCTTTCATTTCCCCTATTCCAAGGCGGTCCAAAGGGATTGAGATGACGGATCTCGAGTTCTAATTCTGTTCTTGTTGCGCCCACACTCGCCACACGACCCGCAAACGATGTTCTGTTCGCGCAATATCCGCCCACAGTCCTGTTCCTCGCAGTAGCCCAGGTACGGCATTTTAAGCCAGCTTTGCAAGACATCCGCCGCGAACTCCGGCACGCTTTCGAAAAGCTCTTCGACTTTGTCCGTAAACATAAACGAGTCTCTATTGTTTGACTTCGTGCGCTGAAGACGGGTGTACTCGACGACTACGTCCCGAAGCCCTCTGTTGTGTTCGCTCGTGACGGCGTAGATGCGAGGGACCGTCTCCAAGGCAGGAAAGAAACACTCCTTTCGTTGAAGAGGGCGAGACTGTTCAGCCATTGTTTCGAACTTCTTCTTGGCAAGCTCGGCGAGAGAAGATACGTCGTACTTGTCTGCGAGGACGTACATATCGATGTGCAAGGAGAGCTGGCGTGGAGTCACGATCAGAGGGACAGGGAGAAAGTCGTCACTACTGGCGTCGTCGCTATAGGTTCCAGCGTCATCTTTGCCACTCCCGAGATTCCATTGTGCAACGTTGTCGTTGTTGGCGGCGGTGTCTTCGTCATCGGTACTGACGTCCTCACAGTCATCTCCGAGCTCATCATAGTCACAGCGGTAGAAGAAGTCCACGAGGCGGGAGACGCAGGGTTCGGTGTCGATGGTGAGGTCGATGACGCTTTCTTGGGATTCCTGGCCCCATAAGTCAGTATGGAAGGGGTTAAAATGGTGGGTCAGAAGGGGTTGTGCAAACCTTCATTCCGTTGGTGCACATAGCTTTGAGTGGCATTGACTGGCAGCAGATGACGTTCTTGTGTACCGAAAGGTGCCTGTCGCCGCAAAGAATCTCGAGGTCAGAAAACTCGCCGGTTCGCAGTAAGCTGCACGAGTGGTGAGCAATCTATATAAATGTTGAGTAGAATATGAGAGCTCACTTGGCCAGGCCTGTCACAAGACCAGCACGATGTTCTGACATCTTTGCAGTGGTCTTTTGTCTTTTGGAAGGGGACGAAATGGTGGAAAGAAGAGGTGGGGGTGGTGAGATTGACGGTGTAGGATGGCCAGAAGGAGGAGGTGGTGGTGGAGATGGATAATGAGGAGGTGATGTAGCACGAGGTGAGAAGTGCATGACGCCGTTGGGCGTGTAGAAGCGGACAGCAGTCTCAACCATGGTCGACGTTACGATTACAAAATGAGTTGTTTAAGAGATGGTTGACAGGTTGGAAGTTGATGATGGTCCGAGGTAACACTGACTCAAAATAAGGTCCGTCATCGCGGACCCTTCTGCCTTTTCGAATCCGACGAGCGGATAGTGTACCAAACGTGATACATACAAAATTTTCATGTGTCTAGAACAGCTCAGTCAAAGTCAGGAACAGCAAAGGCCTTCTATGCGCGTATCATTGCCTCAATATACTTCTGTGCTGACTATGTACTCACAAAGGAGCAAGCTCAGCAATCCATTCAGCCTTTCTAGCTGTCTCTATGCGCCCGGAGCCATTGAAATCTTCCTGGCCAGCCACTATCACTTATGCAAGACAATTTCCTCTCCAGGTTCGAGCCAACGTACTCAGCGTCATACTTTCATCGGTCAATTTCGCTCACAACAGCACTATTCGGTCCCTGTTTCGCACATCCAGCACAGTAAACACGTCATTCAAGGACTGACTGGCAGCCAGTACAAGCGCCCACATGAAGTCCACTGCTGTCTACAGGTATTCGACCATTCATTGGATGAGCTGCGGATTCCACTTGACGGAGTCTCTCAGTGCATGTAGATTTACAAGGTGTGCCGATCTATTGAGAAAATGGAGATGCTGATGGAGATAAGATTTGATATCTGCGGGTTCTATTAGGCACTTGGCTTCGACAGTCGGCAGATACCTATTCAGGAGCTCCCACATGGCCTACAGCCACGTTCTTATCACATGTTTTCAATACTGGCGACTAATTCCGCGGATAGACAGCGGCGTCGTATTTTGGTGCTGTGATACGGTAACGTTGGAGGTTCGCTACAGCGTTAAGAACGCTATCAACCACAGCAAGTCTTGACTTACTCTTTCTACTGACTAGCGATTGGATCTCTCCCACCACTTTTCCGTGCGACCCACTCGATGTCTAGCTTGGGGGTCGTTAGAAGACGCCGCTGGGTATTTTCGTGTTGGAGGCCCAAAATATCTCTAATGACTGCTCACCAGTAGTCGTATCCCTGAAGAAGTGCTCGAACTCAGCCGTTCCGACCGTCCATACCATAGAGTCAGACCGTACGTATGTGGAAGAAGCTCATTTGTTCGAGGAGTATTGTGAAATAGTGGATATTCGTGTTGACCCGGGAAGTACCCCTACAAGGGCAAAGTAGAATGCGTCGAGTCTGACACCCATCCTGCCTGGGAGTTATACCTGGATGCGAGGAGGGTGTGAGTGTATCACATGCCATTGTGAAAGGCTTAAAATACTGATTTTCTTACCTGGAGGGGTAGCTGGTGCCTGCAAGGCAGCGGGCGATATCCTATCTTGACTACAGCCAATCGAAACCTAACCGCCGAGAACAAATTCAATTGATGTATTGAAGGTGTTGAGACGCGGCTACTCTGCTCCCCTCGTCATCCTCCGGGCTTTAATCTTCCCACCTCAAAATCTCTTCCCTCTTTCACACAGCACCATATCTCGAATACGGCTGCGTTGATCCAGTACTCAACGTCACGATCGCTCTGAACCTTACTTGGCATTCTATATGATACTGGAGTCTGACGGCATAACCAGCTTCATAGGATCTCACAGTACCAGCCAGCACACCATTACAGCAGCTACTTCGATAAATGTCTTCCTCCGGTCCCCGTCTCGTGAGCGGTGCTGCCCAGTAAGTCCTGGCCTTCCCAAAGAAAATTTGATGGCAGATCTCTGACAGCTCGGGCAGCCTCTTCAACAATGACCAGTTCTCCGATCTGAAGATCAAATGTGAAGACCAACAAATCCCCGCCCACAAAGTCGTGGTACGTCCACTTTCCGGAGCATTTTCTTCCTTGTTCAGACCATGAATTGAGTATCGAGGCATGCCTTGCGATGATGGAAAGCGTGCTTCACCCCCAACAACTGTCTTACGACCTTTTCTTGACCCATAGAAGTGATACTGACCCAAAATGTACAGGTTTGCACTGCTTCAGATGTTTTTCATGCCATGTGCACCGCAGGCTTCCAAGTAATTCTTTCGATGATAATTCAAAGATTAATCTTTGCTTACGCCATGGAGCAGGAGTCCGAGGGCAACCTTATCGACTTGTCCCACGACACCAAGCCTGTGGTATACCGTATGTTAGAGTTCCTCTATCATGGGGAGTACCGAGAGATCGGTCATTTAGACTACCTAACCATTGATAAGGACCTCCTCGAAAAGGGTCGAGCACAGCATGCACTCCTCCATGCGGAAATGTTCGCTGTAGCAGACAAATACGACATTGCCACACTCGGCGTGGTAGCCATGAACAAATTCGAAAAGGCCCTCAGCAAGAAGAAATTCGGTAATGGCCATTACTTGGATATCATCAAACATGTCTACAGCACCACTCCGGAATCCAACCGTGGCCTCCGCGACCTGGTCGTTTCTCACGCTCGAGCTCACGGCAACGAGATTCAGAAAGACTCGATACTCAACCCCCGCCTCGAGGAAATCGTGTCCATAACTCCACAGTTCGCATGGGACCTGATCCAGACTTGTTTGCTACACACACCACTCAATAGATGCTCTGCCTGCAAGGCAGAGCTCAGAGACAACGTCAGATGTTCAGGATGTATCAAGAAAGGACGATCTCAGCAGTAAACGCCAATGCTAGCAACGGCTCCAGTTTCTTTGATTATCCGAGCATAGCGGCCCATCCCAATGCTGGTCCCATCACCTCCCGGAACGCTAACACTCCCTCCGCCGGAAGGCTCTCCGGGAACGTTTCACTTCATTAATTGGCTCTTTGAAGGAGGCAGCTTCACCCACGTACCTCAAATGTGCGCTGACCTACCAGTGCGTTTGAGATAAACCCGGAATTCAGCTACGACACAGTTCACAGGGTTCGGGAGATCTGGAAGTGACAGGGAAGAGGGCGTTAGGGATCGGCACATTTGGATCTTCCTGCACAATGTGGTACACGAACACGATTCACGTTTCCCTTCTAGAACCATGACAAAGTCAAAAGAAATCACCCAAACATTCTTCTCATACAATAAGAATCTCTCCCTTCCAAATCTCCCCCGTAACCAAACACCATAACTCTTCTATTCTATTCTTCGATCTTCCCCAACCGTCGCCCAATACCGGCGCCCGCACATTTCCCTCGGCATGGCTCGGCAGTCGTCAAGACGTAATGTGCATTGCACAGAACCCCCCTCACATTCCCATTCCCTTCCACAGCTCCTTCTCCCATCCCATTCCACAGCTCCGATCAAAGAAAACGCCGACATTCGAAGCACCATCGATGCTCCGTCCGACCTGGACCTGCGTCTCCTATCCCCGGGCTCCGGCAGGCCAGCGCTACGGTTTTGGCTCCCCTGGGTGACGAGTTTGAGTGCGGCTTCGAAGTCCAAGCCGCAGTTGCCGCCAGTGACCTTGACGGTTTTGCCGGCGAGATGAGACGACCGTCGGGTTTGAGGGTGGATGGGTTGACTTTGTTGCGTAGGGGGTTGTAGGAGAGAGCCATGGCTACTGGATGAGCGGTAGATTGAGTGGAGGTGGAGGTAGAATGCTGACAGCCGGGGAGATGGTGGTGAGAGGTGAGTAAGTTGAAGAGGGAATTAGGCGGTAATGTAGAGGAGTTGTGAGAGCGAATGAGTGAGCTGAGGTGGTTGAGGAAGCTTAGGCTTTAGAGTAGGGATAGTTTGAACACTCAGAAGTGTAGAAATTGTAGCGCGGGAAGGGCGAGGTAGGCGACGCCTTCTTGAAGGAAAAGTGTTGAACGGATAGGGGAGAAGAGGGAGAAGAGAGGAGACGTGGTACGGCAACCTGAATGGACAAGGGGGGTCAACCAACAAATTTTGGTTGTCCGATTTTCGCAAAACCAGTCGAACGTCTTGAGCTCGAAGCGAGTGACAAATGCCGATATCGTGTCCAGCTCCTCTGAGGCCCCGGAAAAGATCGGAGTAAGAGTTGTGCGAAACGGGTCACCAGTTTTCCATCAGCAAGGACCACCTCTGCACTTAATGATACTACCTTGTAGGAGTCCATAAAACCCTTCGTAGCGGCCGATGCCCCCCCCAAGAGCGGATCCTATGAGGCCAACACAGGCACCGCTTGCTAAGGCTACAAAGTAGAAACCCTGTCAGACAGGATCACTTGGAAGAACAGGATCTAGACTTACCGGAAGCCTTACCCTGGCTCCATCAGTATGGAACAAGCTCTTGGTTGTATGCACCACCGCCAACAGTGGCTGACTCTCCACCGCTGTCTATGGTGATGATGTTGAGGGCACGGATGTGGATCTCTATGCCATTTTTGCGATTACCCAACGTGGATGTAGAGCCAGCAGGGAACGGGATGGCATGCTTCTTTGCAAAGACGATCTAATCTTGCCATATCAGCCCAGTAAGTCACGAAGTAAGCCATTTGGGTAAGAACAGTGGTACCGTCGTGATCACTTCCACGTCCGCCCCTGGCTCAACGAGCGGGGCAACGTTAGGTTCGGCATATGCGCTCCATCTGCTAACAGCGGCTTCAAATAGTGGAGTGCCGGGAGAATACAGGGTGGCGCCTTTGGATAAGAAGGGACCAAGCTGCGTTTGAATCTTTGAGACAGTGGGAGCTAGAGCGGTCGTTTCATTGACATCGCGTTCGAAGATATGTGGAAGTGCAGGGATACTTGGAGCAAAAGTGCTCATGAGAACGGCAGATTGAAATAGTTTGGACTGTATCGTATCGAAAGAATAAAAGAATGAATGAAAGAATGAATGAATGAACAAATACGAGGAAAGAAATTCCGGTGCTTGTATCTCGAGCTACAGCTTTTCACGAAATGAGGCAGGTACCTACAGAAACTTCGTCCCATCCTGGCCTCGCGCCTATTTTCCACTATGTGTGTATGAAATGGACTCGAAGCCATCACTCTGAGGCACAGTTGAAATTTCTAGATAGTCTCAGCACATAGATCATCCTGAATATGTACAGCTGAGGTATCTGCCACCACCATGTCTGCCTCGAGGTGATATGCCGAGATGGAGGTAGGAGGAACAGAGGGATAAGGTGGTATCTTGACGGAGATCTTGATCCCACGAGCGTAACGTTCCAGGCTTGATGGTCATCATGCCGTGTGGTATCCGAACGGACTGCAAGCCTCGTGCGAGGGATTTCGCCTCAAGGAGACTAGAAGTACTACCCGTGTGGAAAAGGATGAAGGCGTAGACGGTGGATAAGGTAGGTAGGTAACATTTGACTTGTGGGTTAAGATTATGGTCAGAAATTTAGTCAGCGGGTAGGTAATTCACTCGACCGTGCCGCGTGTTTTGAAATAAATGCATCTCGTAATCTCGTTCGGCCTCGACTTCGGCTATGCGGGGTATGAGAGTATCAGATGCACGATCTCAGCATACGGTTTGGTTCCATTAAGGGTCATGCTATTTGATACCTTCACTGCCAGTATCAAGCAATGAGCAGAGCCGGTAGTCAGGAACGATGATATGGAGCCAAATCATCTATAGCTGATACTTTGCATAAAGCACGAACTTGCAGCCACGTCAAATCTCTGTACCATACGGCTTCACAACTCTTTCATACTCAAATGTAAGTGTCGAGACTGTGATGCGTCTCTTTCCGTAAGACGTCAACGGTTTCGGTCCAAAGCTTCTTCTGGATCTTGGCACCTTCGGCGGAACGGACCCATGTCGAAGCACTAAGCCAAGTGTTAGTTTAGAATATCAGAACAAAGCCGTAGGCTTTTCGGGCATCAGAGTAGTAGAGAGCGGTGTACAGAAAGAAGACGGGACGGCGAGAATTTACGGAATTTCTTTGCATTCACTCATATACCCGCCGTGGGTGGCCGCACCCTGGACAACCGCCGCGTCCACCAGAGTTCTTCCGCCTTCCTCTGTCGTGCGTCCAAAGATAGCGGTGAATTTCTTCTCAACTGCGTTTTTGTTCTCGCGATGGAGGCTGCTTTGCACCAAGCCGGGATTGACAGTGTTGATGATGATCTGCGTGGGGCTGACTTTGGACGCCAATTCACGTGCCCAGAGCACATTCAGTAATTTGGAGACGTTGTAGCGGTCCGGGTTGCCAAAGGTGCTCTTCTCGTCAAGTCTCTCGATTATGTTTGGGGCTGTACGCTCATTGAACGGAGTCCACATGTGAACCTCTGAGGAAGTGATAGTCATACGGGAGGGTTTACTGTATTTTGCAGCGGAAGCTCGAAGTGGAGGTAAAAGGAGGAGCGAAAGCAGTGCGGTTGCAAGATGATTGACTTGAATTGTTGTCTCATGCCCAGTGAGCTGGTTCTCCATGTATTCCGGCTTCTTGACCCCCGCGTTGAGGAGGGCAATGTCAAGACGGTCGAGGCCTTGCGCGCGCTTTCCGAAAGCCATGACGCTGTCGAAAGAATCCATGTCGAGTTCCCAAACTTCAACGTTGCATGATGGGTTAGATTTGAGGAGGTCAGCCTTTGCCTCTTCACCTTTGGAGAGAGTGCGAACGGCCATGATGACGCGGGCAACTTTGAAGCCCATCAACAGACGAGTGGCCTCGAGCCCGATACCGACATTGGAGCCCGTAACCAAGATGGTCTGCCCGGACAGATTCTGAGGGCGAGGAGGCTGGGGGTGCACCATCACTTGACGGTAGACGAAGCCTAGGAAGCCCATAGCTACTAATGGCGAGGAAGCAGATAGACTTGAATTTGATTTGACTATAGATCAAATTAGCGAGCGACTGGTAGGAAGGCAAGATGGATGCTGACCAACGTTCACCTTTGAGAGCTTTGCTCAGGGTAAAGGTGTCGGATTTGCCGGTGAGCTGCGAGAGTCAAGGAAAGAGTAAGAAAAGTTGAAAGAGGTGTAGATACGGGCTAATTACTAATTCATACCCCGAAACTATGAATCCTTACCGAATCATACCCCTAATTACTGAATCATACCCCTAGGGGTATGATTCAGTAATTTGCCATTCCTTGGGGTATGATTCGGTAATTTGCCATTCATGATAAAAATCGTAAAGGAGAAAATTCGCGACCTGGGCCATCCGACCATAGAAAAGAGGAAATATCTCTCGACCGTATTCAATGGGTGACCTACCAGCTTAAATACATCAGACGAAAGCCGAGTGGGTGTTAGCAGCAGCCCCCACGGGGGCCCTGCGACGGCCCTACGGGGGCCCTATTTAGGTTCAAATAGGGATGTCTGGCTGTCAAGCGCAGACACCCCCGGGACCAGGCTTTTTTTGCGCTTGACAGCCAGACACCCCTATTTGAACCTAAATAGGGCCCCCGTAGGGCCGTCGCAGGGCCCCCGTGGGGGCTGCTAACAGTGGGCTAAATTTGGCCCCCCAGCCTGTCTACACCCAGTCTGTGACTCTCACACACAGTCTTCACTCCCAATAGTCTACACAGCAAGTTTGGTAAATTACCGAATCATACCCCAAGCAATTAATCCTTACCGAATCATACCCCAAATTTTGGTGTAGGGGTATGATTCAGTAATTAGGGGTATGATTCGGTAAGGAGTCATAGTTTCGGGGTATGATTCGGTAATTAGCCCGTGTAGATACGAGTGCAGTAGAGTCAGCTGTTGCGAAGTGAGTGATGTTGGATAGTGAGATGGGTGATGAGTGAGGGGCAGACTTTACTGCAGGGAGAAAGGGTGAGGTGCTCTTTTTCTTTTGAGTAGAGGAGTATTCAAGTGACCCGAAACAAAGGGATGCGAGAGGGTAAAGATATCATTGAATAGTGTCCACTCCAGTCCACATGCTCCATCTATATCCGTACTTATGCCTCATGCCGACGGGGGGGGAGGGTTCCTTCAAGTACTTCACACTCGTCAGTGCAAAATACTCCAGAGCCGATGTTTCTCGGCATCAAATACGCTAATATCGGATCGCGCTAATTTAGTTGCATTCTTCCCCTAAAGTAAGGTACCTTACCTAACTAACCTCCAACTACGGTCGGCCCAGAGAGTACTCCATTGCCATTTTCATTACCTTCTCAATTTCCATCATGGCAGGTTCCAATGACCTCATGACTCATGGAAATTCTTCATATCTTCAATTCTGCGTCCCACTACTGAGTGCCGACCGTGAAACCCATGTCTTGTGCGACTGAAGAGCACTTTCCTTCTTCAATATGAATCTCCATATAGACCTTATCCCTACTCGCAGTAAAGCATCATCCCGACCATCTTCAGTGGTGGTTGCCCCTACTCTAGCATCAGGTCTGGGAGGCGCAGGAAACATCCAGATGGGCCAGCTGCCGCCTGCGGCCAAGTTCGATGAAGAAGAGCAACCCTTAACCAACATCGTAGCCCCAGATGGAGAACCGGAATATCCCGCGGCATGGAAGTTGGCAGTCATCACCATCGCACTCTGTATGGCTAGATTCCTCGTGGCTCTGATTAGTTAGTTGCAGTTCTATTTTCATGCTTGCCCCTGACAAATCACTCTTGCGGCAGGATACCACCATAGTTGCCACAGCCATCCCACACATCACAGATCACTTCAAAGCCCTAGACGACGGTACGCCGCTTCTCTCTCCTTCTCAGCCAAAAGGCATAAATCGAACGACAGCATTCAGTGGGATGGTACGGAAGTGCATACCTGCTCACCATCTGCGGGTTCCAGCTAGCGTTTGGCAAATGTTATTCCATTTTCTCAATCAAATCCGTCTTTCTGTCGGCAATCGGAATCTTTGAGCTGGGATCTTTGGTTTGCGGAGTCGCCCCAACATCGACAGCTCTTATAATCGGTCGAGCGATCGCCGGTCTAGGGTGCGCTGGTATATTTTCGGGGCCCCCGATTGTCATTGCCTATTCAGTTCCTCTGCACAGACGGCCAGCATACACTGGGCTTCCACGGCTTTAACCACCTTACTTGTGTTATGGCCTAATTAGGCTTAGCGTGCCAAGGCCATTCGGCCTTTCTACCCTGCTTTGAAACCCACACTTGTAATTATTCTGCATAGATAGTATTCTCTTCACACTACAATAAAATGGGTGGGTATAATGGCCAGGTCATGTTCGCGTACGACGGCGTACATCTGGGGGCACTTTGCGAGACACCGACGTTAGCGATTGTGACCATTGGCTCAAGAGCGCCGTCGCCGGAGCCAGCAGGGTTGCTGAGAGAGCCAGAGTCGTTGAAGAGGAAAGCGTCGCGGAAATCGAGGTCCCAATCCGCGAAGCTGGGTGTGATATGAGACATGTCCAGGCCTTCCACGTCGCCCCAGACATTGATACCATTGAGCAATTGCGAGTCCTGGCTTGGGTGAGACGGCTGCGAGTAAGGAGGCATGTTCGGCATGTTAGAAACTTCGTCGGTGCCGACCGCATGTGAGGAAGATTGCAAGGACGTGACCGGAAGATCTTCTGAGGTGTCTGGAGTCCTTGGCTTGGAAAGATCTGAGTCATTGACTGGTGATATCGACGAGGATTGTGAAGTCGGACGCCTAAATTTGTTTTTCTTCGTTCCATTGAGGACTGTAACCGTTCTTGTAATGTCGATACTTGTCACGAGTATCTCCAGAACCTTAACGCCAGCCCTGGCGATCGAGCTGACCTCACTGAGAATCTTCAGTCGCGCCACAGCGTCTCCAATCTTCTTACGCCCTTGTTTCCACTGTTCGTCATCTGCTAACGAACTTCCGCGGGACACGCCTGAAGCAGACGAGCCTTGCTTGCCCTCCTTTTTTTGCCGATGTCTGGGTTCATAAGGCACATCCCCAGTAGGACTGCCGGCTCCAGCGTAAAAAAGCTTAGTAGGAAAAATCGATTATGCTTGCCTCCCATGAGCGTGTGCAACCTTCCAACACTTTCCAGCATCTCTATAGTCACATCAAGTAGGGATGCTCTATGTTCGGCTACTAATTTTCTATCGGACGGCGACCAAGTCCGCGTCTGGTCTGGCGACTGAAGGATAACGGGTCTCAGCAGCGAGCACATGGTCGCAAAGACGCTAATTCTGAACATCTTCCTCTGCCGTTTCAGGTTGGGAAGTTCATCGTCCCACTTTTCATCAGCGGCATGGAGTTTGAACGCAGGCGGTAGTTTTTCAATGAATTCTCCCTGTAGTCGTCTAACATGTTTGTCGATGATGACAGGATCTGTTGACGGTTCCCCATGATTCGATGTAAGCAGATCGAAGGCGATCTTTGTAAGCTCAATCTGAAGTCTGCGCTCGCAAAATCCATTCGGCGCGTTGACGTCCGAGATCTGAGAGGCAATGACACAGTTAGGAAGGGAGACAGTACAGTGTTGCTCGGGGATCAGAGGCCACCTGCCCAGTATAACGGACATGAATCAATATTCGTAAATTAGCACCGGCTACTCTTCCTATCCATACGCTATCATCATTTGCGAAAGGTCGCGTTCAATATTGGAGTCGGACGCGAAATCTTCAAGATGACGAAAGAAACAAGGTACGGAACTCATTAGGGCAATTGAGAAGGGGCCACTAACCAATCCCAGAGGAACAGATTCCAATAGGTTCTCTTTCCCATCTCAACATCGTTTTCACTCGTAAGGCTCCCACTCCCCTTTGGTAGTTCCACGTGTAGTCCTAGCTCATGCGCTTCCCGTATAGCTTCGCTCAATACATCCCAACTCTTCTTCATCCGTCCTTCATTTTTCAGATAGCATGCGCGGAAGAACAGTTCGTGAACTCTAAGAATCGAAGGCGGGTTTGTCTTCATTGTAGGTGATTGACTAAGAGCGATAGCCGTGGCATCGCAGTGTTCACGGATGGTGCACAAAGACTTCCCTAAGATTGTGTCCGCCGTGTAGTTTTGCGAAGGAAGGAACTGGGCGCTGTAGGAGCAAAGACGAAGAAGCAACACGGCAAACTCCAGATTATCCACACTTTGGTAGGGACGAGACCACCATTCATTGTAGCGGTCAAGGAACGTGGTTAAGTAGACCAGTTCGTAGACCCAATTCGCTTCACCAAAGAAGTGCTGTATGAGGATATCCGTCACGGAACGCTCTGGTATCTTCTTGAGCAGCGCGGTCAATTCGGGCGTCACCAGCACGCTTTTGGGACTATCGAGCCGTGGGTCGGATTCGTCGTCTTGAAAAAATTCTATCTGCATAATCAATCAGTTCAGAAAGTGCTCTAGACATGCTGATTAAACTAAGCAAATGGGATGCCACGTAGGTGGGTATTGACGGTTTCTAGATATCCAAGCAGGTTGTCGGCGTTGTGATTTAGATAGCCTAGCCCGTCGAGCAAATTTCGGGCGCTAGGTCTGGTGTTTGAGGCAGGTCGGGATGGCTGTAGGCCAGGAGAAAAACGAGTCCTCGACCCCTGTGTATTCGAATCGCCCTCGTCAGAGGCATCGTCCATCGGTGTATTATCGCTGAGTGGGATGACCATTAGCGTCTAGGTCCAGGTGCAATGTTATGCACTTGGGACACAATGAAAGGCGGCGTACTTACCTTGCTTATCTTCTTGAGACTTCGCCTTGGATACAGCTCTTGCTTCGACTCCATGAGCGGGAGTCTTGGACGTATTAAATTTACATCAGTGGCCGAGTTCCGGTCGGGACAATAACGGCACGGCCAATCACGGTCACACCATTGGTTGCGTTGATGTTGTTAGCAGAGAACATGGGTTGCAAAGCGCAGTGGTACGGCCACAGTGGTTCGGCAATCTGTATTCGGGAGTTTATTCGACTTGAGCACCAGTAGAGACAGAATGGTGAACTAGGGAGGTAGCTCCCGGCCTCGGTGCCTTTGTAGCGAGAGAGCAGTCAATGGAGATGTTTTGTGTCAGCGTACCTTTTGTTTCCTCCGATAGCACTCAACACAGGAAGCTTTGAGCCGGTTCCTCGACTGCTTGATTGCTATCGCTGACGCTTGCGGAACGTGGTGGTTTGACCCTTGCGGGGCAGGCTTGGTGGATGCCATGGATGGCATAGATGGCCAGTCTGTGGGGATCTTCTTAGGTACTCTGACCTTGACTACTTGGAGTCTGCCGTGCTTTAGCTGAAAGGAATGGTGACGCTGGGGATAGATCGCTGGTTACCTCAGACCTCAATATCAATATCGTATCTCACTCAGCCTCGCATTGGTGGCCTTGTTAAGCTGGTCTGATGCCTGGGCCACGACTGTGGCTGTGGCCGTGGCTGAGGTAGGTGAATCAAGGTACCGCTCAGACGGCCGAGAATTTCTTTTTACACTCGGGGGACTCGAATGGTACACTGCTATAATGTGGGATATTATGTGAAAGAGAAAATAAGCTTGAGAGGTTATGACCTAGGGAGAGTGTCACACCTGGTTGAGTGCTAACTGTGTAGCGTGGTAAAATCAGGGATGATAAAGGCGAAGTTTCATAGATCTTATGCAGGCTGGTCACCCGGGCGTGTCACGGAGGTCGAACCTCAAGGTGACTATTGAAGCCTGGAAAGATCGAGTCACGTTTCATTTGATTTAGTAGGGAGAAGTGCGCCGCAAACATTGAAGCAGAACCGTTATGAAAGGTCCTATCCCTTAAAGAATTTGGAGCTAGTAAGGAAACGTCGCATTTTATTCACAGACCCCTATCTTTCCAACCGACTACCGTTGTCTGGTACTGTGAACAAAGTCCCGGATACGCCGCTCAATACATAGGCAGACGTCCCTCCAGCTCACGCGCAAGCATTGTCACAAAGCCCGGGAAGTAGAGACCGAGTGGCTATCATTTCCTCTGTGCGCTAACAGTTGGCTCTGGCCTCCAGGTGAGTAGCCCAACTCATATTAGGCGCAGATGTGGTTCGGTACTCACGCGACACTCATCCAGTATTGGTGTAAGTCCCAGCTAAAATCCGGAACCTCGAGCAACACCTTTTGAAATGACGCCTTCACGTCGTTGTGAAGGAAGTGGGAAGGATACGTTTTGAACTTCACCAGGGCCGCATCTCGCAGATTCCGATCAGAGTCAGGCGTTGATGAGTACACAATGGGGATACTCTCTATCAGCCCTAGTCGGTCCTTGGGCTTGGCCTTGGTGGCGAGCTTGAAATTTACGAGCGCTGTATCCTTGAGTACAGAGAGGTCGTACTTGTCCCCGAGTGCATACATCCCAGCATGGAGTTGATAGCCAGATTTCCAGTCCTGAGCATCCTCTATCGCATCGAAGTCTGCGTAGGTGCCGTGGTAAAGGCAGTGTATCATCCTCGACACGAGAGAAATACCGTCGGCGGTGAGATCAATGGTATTTGTTGAGGACTCCTGTTACTTCATCAGCTCCCTGTGTCCATCAGAACAGGAGTCTGAAAGGTCATAAATACCATAAAGCCATTTGAGCAAGTTGCATGGAAGACCTTTGATTGAGAGCAGACGATGATCTTATGGACCATAAATTCGCTGTTGCCGCAAATGATTTTCAGATCCGTGTAAAGTCCAGCTTCGTATGCTCTGTTGGGACAGTGAGCTAATGCTAGGAATTATATGGAACAAGTTGAGTACTTTTGAATGGCCGCAGGAAACACAAATGGGAAGATATGACTTGACATGATTGTGTGGGCGCTGGGTGTCGTGGTGTGGGTGAGAGGTGACCGTGAGTCCAAAGAGTAGGCCCGGCAGTGGCGGGTAAATGAACTGGTAAGTATAAAGATATCGATTCACTTGAAATAACAGGAACCGACGAGACGGGCTATTTATTTAGTAGTTAAGATCACTCAGACGTCATATCAGCTTACGGGTTCTCTTTTCTGTTCTTGTCATGTCAGTACTACCTTGCATATCATGCAAAGAGTTGATACTTCCTCCTCAGTCACCTTCATCATGCACCATAATCCCATCCTCAGTGACTCTAAATGAGAATCCACCTCCACCCTTCAATTCCCTAATACCCTCCCTCACCTCCTCCCTCCACCCCTCATTTCCCCACCAGTTGATCCAACCAGAGAAACCACTCTTTTCTACCGCTTCCCACCTTTGCGCTCCTTCCCTCTTAGCCTCCTCTGCACTCAAGTCAGGCCCAAACTTCGACACTCTGTCTTTCACGACAACTAACTTGGTCGTGCAGAAGTTGTTCCACAAAGACGGAAGATGAGGACGCAAAGCCGCATGTCCGGCTACTGAAGTGACAGGGGCTAGGCCCCAGTTTGTAGCCACAATAGGGCAGGAGAAGAGGTGCTGGACATGACGCAGCGAAGAGATAAGGTTGTGGTAACGCTCAAGGAATAGAGAGTTGTTTGCATTTTCGGCGTGGTTGGAGGCCGGCAACCCAGTTCCCTCGTCAGCGTCTAAGCGGTCTTGCCAGAGGAAGGCGCTGAGGTCGTTAATGGCTAAGAGACCAAGGGGACGATTGGCGGAGAAGTGAGTTGAAGGCGAGGAGAGGAGAAATGATGGCAAGGCAGCCAAAGTAGATAAGAGGGAGGAAGATGATTGGGGATGGAAGATGTGGAGATGGGTGAAAGAGTCCGAGATCAGAGACGAGATCTCCTGTTCGGGCAATGTCAAAGAAGACCTAGAGCATATTGAGGAGATATGATTATGCATGAGATGGTGAAGCCGTAGAACCGAAAATCTCCCAGACAGATCAAGGAGGACAACAGCATTGCCCCTTCCATTGATGGGCTCATCTTTATGCTCTACTGGTAATAGAGATAGTAAGATGATTTGGTAAAGTAGTTGTGTTTTCCCAGAGCATGCCGCAGCAGCGGCGATTTCTATGACGGGTAGTGGCTTCTCCTTCGGCGGAGGAGCTGGCCCTTCTTGCTGAACAGACCATTGAGTCTGGTAATGTTGCTGTTGCCGGGTTGGAGGAGGGTTCTGGAAGACGTCGAGGAGCCTATCGAGGGGTGGAAACCCAAGGGAAGGACCGGAACTGGCATCGAGCTCTCGTAATGCGCGCAGAAGCTGGAGGATGTCAGTCTTCGATCTCGATGTAATCATGTAGGAGGTGTCAAGTGCTCTCCACACACCTCATCCAAACACTCCACCTTCACTTCTCCCAGCAAATCTCTGCCGAGTCCTTCTACACTCATAGTTGCTCAAGAACAATAGCGTTTCCATAAATTGATCAGTCCACAGTGCTTCAGGCTTTCCCTTCATACTTTAAGAAACGAGAGGAGAGACTCGAGCATGACGCCACCCATCGAGGCTTTCGCGGTATCAGAGCTTGAGGACCGGATCAATGTTCAATCGAACAATCGGCGGAAGAAAGGAGGAGACATTGACCTTCGCAAATGCGAATTGCTGGAGTTGATTCAGTATGAGTGCCGTCTCCAAGGAAGCAAGGAGGACCGACGATCGATCATCCAATGTGCACCACTGGTCAAGCTGTTTCGAAGGTAGACAACATCGTAGCCTCGATTCTACAAATGGCTGATCACGACTGGCTTATAGGTGCGCCGGCGGTCTTATGGTAGAGACTACGGCTTGGGATGGCGAGAATCTGAATTGACGTTGGAAGAGGGCAGTAGCAAGTACCCAAGTTTGGAGAGTTTTCAATTGTTGCAGAGGGGTCACAGGCGCATTGCAAATATTCTACAGGAGCAAATGACCAAAATTAACGCTATTTGAGTATATCTGCGCCTGGGGGTATCATATCTACACCAAATGACGCCGTGCAATGCTTCCAAATGTGACCGCGCATGCCCTAAATGCTTCCTTTTGCTTCTCTCGTCTGCGGTGGCGGCTTTCGCCAATATTGTTTCTCTGCGTTCACAACTGAGCCAAAGCGTCCGTATCCAAATGATGGCAGAGGTGAAGGTTCGCCATCTTTGTGCCTTCCTTTGCCAACGCCAGCCTCCATGTCGAAGTCCATAGCGTCAGGTGTCTCCTGAGTCACTGCTTGCATGGTCTCCATCCACATCAGTTCTCTCACTGCCCGTGCGCTTTGAGTTTTACGGCCTTGTGGAGACTCTTGGGTTGATCTACCAGCTCCTGCGCGAACAAGCCTGCGAAGAGCTTCTTCTCCAAGTCTGCCTTCCTCTGTAGCTTTCTCGCGGACCTTTCTCTGATCTTGCTCGTGCTCTGCATACTCAGGAGTAGCTTTGTAGGTGTGCTTGCTCGGGAGCTCCGGGAAGTGTTGTGGAATGTATGCCCGGAGTTTTTCATTGGGGTCGGCGTTCAACAATGGTCCTAAAAAGCGCAGATGCTGCTCCTCGTTGTCTTGCGCGATCTCCATCTGTAAGGGGAACTGTGTCCGCGACGGGCTGACAGGCGGATCGAGATGCGGTAAAAGGGATCTCAGGCTGAGCTGATGTGTATGAAGAGCTTGTAGGAAATCTTGTGGGATTGCCTGTGTGCGCCGGCAGGAGAGCATAGATTGCCGCACATCTGCAAGATAGTGGGCCATGTCTGGCATAGTCAGCGCGACGCTATGAAGCTAGGATCTGTAACATCTTTACATACATTCTTCCACTTCAAAGTGAAAGGCCTCCATAGCGTCTGGCGCGGCCGCTCCGAAGCCTACAGTTTCCAGCGCAAGGCCGATCGAGCGCGTTAGCATAGACTGAACAGCCTCCACGTCCTGCCATGGCTCCTTGAGTTGCTCTCGCTGAAAATCCCAGCTGGGTTGGTGATGACGGATCAGTCCGCGATTCTGTTTCTTGTGTGGTGGTAGGCCATATAGTTCAAGTGACGCAGAGCGCTTGGCGGGAAGAGACTGGTATACTGTCATGGGTACCATTAAAGCGCAGTGAGCGTAGATAATAAGGACAATGATGCGATCACCTGGGCTGTCCAGCAGTGAGCTGACCAGGTATTGCAATGAGACAACGGCCTCCTACAGCATGCGGTTCACAAGATAGCCGGGAGTTGATTGGTCGATGGTCAGCCCTACCCAAGTCGCCAATCGACCTAACTGCTTATGGAGCTTGAGTCATCTTGGGCTTTTGCCGTTTCTAAATCACTCTTATTATTTCGCTCCTCAGCAATTCTGCCTGAGTTCTCTTATAAAACATCACATAATGTCTACACACAGGAAGTCAGTTGCCTTCAGCGACGAGCATATAGTTGTTGCCTCAAACGGGGAAGTGACAGAAGTCAACGGAAAAGGGACACCGGACAAAACATCTGCAGAAAGTCACAGCGTCGGTGAGTTTGTATGTGACCCTCATGATCCTACAGCATACTGAAAACGAAAAGACTCTCCAGATCCAGCACCAGCCAAAGATCCTGCAGTCGACGAAGTCACAGACCTCTTCAAAGGCTTAGGCAAGAAAAAGAAGTCCTCGAAGAAGCCCAAGGATGAGGCACTAGAGGGTGGCGACGAAGCTACACCAGCTGCTGATGGCGAATTTGATCCAACAGCCCTCAAGAAAAAGAAGAAGAAGAAGCCCGCCAAAGCCGCAGAGGCTGATGACTTTGAGGCGAAGTTAGCTGAAGCCGGTGTGAACGAGAATGGAGAGCTTGACGCGGACGCAAAAGCTGCGCCGCAAGAAGAAAAAGGAGAGGGAGGGGAATTGGATGGCGATATGGTTGCAGGAACTGGTATCTGGAGCCACGACGAGGAAAAGCCCATCAAATACGACAAACTCCTCGAACGCTTCTTCGCACATCTACACAGCGCACATCCGGATCTGCTGTCGAGCGGCTCGAAAAGCTACGTTATTCCGCCACCGCAGTGTCTACGTGAAGGAAACAAGAAGACCATCTTTGCCAATATCCCAGACATCTGCAAGAGGATGAAGAGAAGTGAGGAGCATGTCATGCAGTTTATATTCGCTGAATTGGGGACGAGCGGCAGTGTGGATGGATCCAGGAGGTTGGTGATCAAGGGAAGGTTCCAGCAGAAGCAGATCGAGAATGTTTTGCGGAGATATATCGGTATGCTCTTGAGTTTTGTTTGGGTGGCGAAATTATTGCATACTAACACCGACTAAGGCGAATACGTTTCCTGCAAAACATGCAGATCCCCTGACACGGAACTCAGCAAGGGTGAGAACCGTCTGTACTTCGTCACTTGCAACTCCTGCGGCAGCAGACGTTCAGTCACAGCTATCAAGACTGGTTACTCAGCTCAAGTCGGGAAGAGAAAGAGGCAGCAGACATGAGCATGGCAGTGAATGGCTTCACAAGATTGGTATCATGGTGTATCAGTTGGCTCACTACGTTATACTTGCATGAAACTGTACTTGTGCCAGAGGGAACCAGGCCGAACCGCATCCATTTGGTATCGTGAGCTGGCCTAGCTGAAGCAATGCTACCTGTATCATCGACTGGTCTCTCATGCACTTCATAGCCCTTGCTTGATAGATACAGAACTCATTTCAGACCTCTAAGTACTGCGGTTAAGTCTTGTTTGCCCCCTCTACGAACAGTCTGCTATCAAGCTCCAATCATGCCGACGAGCACTCAGATTGTACAATATCTTCTTACAAAAGCCGTAAAGAAGCTAAAGATGACAGCGCCATCAGGCCTCCTGCTCATGTTCCTCTTGCAGCCTCCTATCATTCTCCAAACTCTCCGCCTCGGCCCTGTTTACATACTCCTCCAACCTCCCCCTAACCCCTTCGTCCCACCCCGCCAATATCCTCGCAGCCCCCAACGCCGCATTCGTCGCATTATTAACACCCACCGTAAGCACCGGACAACCCCGAGGCATACTAGTGCAACTCACAAGACTGTCCCATCCATCACCGATAGTAGGCTTGATCGGCAGGCCAATCACGGGCACGGTTTTGGAGAATGCGGCGACCATGCCAGGGAGATGGGCGGCACCGCCGGCGGCTGCGATGATCACTTTGATGCTGCGGGAGGGGGCGGTGCTGCCGTAAGTGGCCATGGTGGAGGGGGTGCGGTGGGCGGACGTGACGCGCTTCTCAAAGGGGATAGAGAGTTGATTGAGAATGTTGTAGCAGTCTTTGAGGTGGGGTTGGTCGGATTTTGAACCAGTGGTTATGCTGACGACGGGCTCAGGTTGAGTTTGTGGTGCAGTGGTGGTGGTAGCAGGAGGCTTTTCAAGCAGCGGTTGTTCTCGTGGCTGCTCGTCATGGAGTCTGTCTGCACCCGTGATAAGATGACGCATTTCTTCTTCCAATTCCGGCATACTGTCGCCCACCAAAGTTAGATGCCCCATCTTTCTCCCTTTCGTGGCATTTCCTTTGCCGTAGAGATGGACTTTGGCCCCGGCAGCATCTGCAGCGTTCGCGAGATTCAGGTATGAGTTTGGATCTGCTCCACCGAGGATGTTGAGCATGATAGCTGGATTTAGCAGTTGGAGACTCTTGGCGGGGATGGGTCGATCGAGAATGGCGAGGAGGTGGGCGTCATATTGTGAAAGTCGGCATGCTTCGATAGTGTAATGACCGCTATTGTGCGGTCTGGGTGCTATCTCGTTGACTAGGATACTATCGTCCTTGAGGAGGAACATCTCCACGCCAAAGACTCCTTTGCCTTTGAAACTTGCAACAGCCCGTCTGGCGAGCTTCTGGGCTTGAGCGTTCAGTTTGTCAGAGAGTCCACGAGCTGGCGCGTAGACAAGTTTGCAGATGCTATCCTGATGGACTGTCTCGACTGTAGGAAATGACTTCGTTGACGATTCCCAGACTAAAGGATCCGCTTCATTTTTGGTCTTGACGACCATAACGGCTAGTTCCATGGCGAAGTCTGCCCATTTCTCTGCGTACAATTCTCGTCCCTGTAACTTTTTCATTGCTGGCTCTAAGTCCTCAGTTGATCTGACAGGATAATTGCCGCGTCCATCATACGCTCCTTTGCGAGCCTTGAGCATGAATGGGAAGCCTATTTGCTTATGAACTTTCTTGATTTCTTTTTTAGAGACTGTAGAGAAGGGCCGTGATTCAGCCACATCGACTTGAGCTTCGATAAGCCGTTGCTTTTGTAGGAACTTGTCCTGAATTATTCGAATGGTCTGCCAACTAGGCTGGATCTCAATACTTTTGCCTCGTGCCAAGGATTCATTCTCTAGCTCTTCGAGTACATCTGTGTCCACATGCTCGATCTCGACAGTCAAGATGTCACATTTTCTTGCGAGCTCACGGATAGCTTGGGCGTTGGTGAAAGACCCGTCGACCCCATTATAGGAATTGATCTGTTTGGCTGGCGAGGCCTTCTTGTCGAGGACAGCGACTGAGATGTTGCGGTTGTTGGCTGCCTCTACGAACATGCGGCCTAACTGGCCTGTAACTTCGGAGTCAGTATTGCTTATTCGAGGGGTTGCACTGACCCTTGGAACATGTCTACAGAGTAAAAATTTCCAAGACACGTCTCAAGTCTCAAGACTTGGTCCAAAGGAGGCAAGATGGACTCCGGAAATACGTACCACCGCCGAGAACACCAACAGTTCGAGTGTCCATTGGCGAAAATAGTGATGATAGATACCCAAGAAAGACTTAAATCGAATGGTAAGATACCTATCAAAATCTTAGATCCTGGGTATAGATTGCATGTGAACTACTGCAGTACGACAACAGAAAAGGGTAAAGTCCCATTCAAATATATCTATGAAAGCCCTGTAATACAATAAAGTATGTCTTGGGTACATCAATACTAGATAAATGCTTCGCTCACAATATCAAATTGATAAGCAGGAGAAAGAGAAATTGGTACTCGGGCAGAAAATTTTGAGTCTAGCCTGCGACCTCACTGCGTCAGAAACCCTCACTTTCTCGAGAGTCTCGAACGACGGCTGAGAAGCTCAAAATTCTCTTCTAAAGTTTCAGAAAATAGAACGGACCCAACAGCGGCCTTCAGGCCATCATTGGGCCTACAAAGAGTGCACTCATCAAAAGACACGGTCGCAATCTCATCGAAGTCTCCTAAAGTACTCTCCGTGGCCGCCAAGGAACGTAGCCGCTGTCGGCGCCCAGCCTTACCCAAGCGCCGATGACCCCACCTGGACCACTCACGCATCCTCAAGCTCTGCATATGGTTGGACGCCGGCCAAATGAAAGAGGCTACGAGCATGCACTCCAAAGTCAGATCCTTATGATACCGAGAATAGATGCCAATAATAGCTACATGCCATTTTTTCGTTGTAGAGCTCTTCTGCTTGAGTATATGAGAGCTCTGTTGCTTGTCCCGCTTCTCCTTTCTCTACTTCGAGCTCTTGGTTGAGCTCCGTGACACTCCAAACTTCTCTTCTCAGCAGTCCCCCTTCTCTTCAGCGTTTGCTGTCCTTTGTCGAAGCACCTGTTGAGCTTGCAACCGCTGCCGCAGTGATCACACACACTTTTTGCACAATGGCGTCTCCACCACCTCCAGGCTACGGCTCTCCAGCACATGGGGGCTACTATCCTCGTCAGTACAAGGCAATAAGAAGATGTACAAGCACCAGGAGCTGACTTGGCTCCATAGCACCTCCTAGTGGGCCTCCTGAAAGCCGTACCTACCCTCCACCAGGTATGGAATCTGGTAGTCCTCAGCTTTTCTCATGCTAAACAATCACGCAAGTCCAATCATTCCCACCGCCTCCCTCCTCGCCCGGCTTCCCACCCCCACAACCACAATCCTACCCACCTCCACCTTCTCAGCCGTCCCCTTCCTTAGGCAGCTACCCCCCTCCACCCCTACAGCAACAGTACGCCAGCAATGGCCACCGCGCATCATTTGCCCCTCCCCCACAAGCCGCGACTCCTTCCCCTTCCTACACTCCAGAGAAGAAACCCTCTGCGGAATTGTACCAGGAACCGCCTCCCTCTGCGGGATTCGTTGGAAACCGAAAGAACTCACAGCCGGCCATGACCCCGGAGAAGCCGCCGCTGAATACGAATCAGTCTTCACAAATGCCAGGAGGAGCACCGCCGCAGGGCCACTTTACAGGTGCTGGAGCGACTACGCAGGATGATACTGGGACTTTCAATGGCGGAAGCTATCGAATAAGTCATAGAAACACCAATACTATCCTAACGCTTCAATTAGCTATGGGTTGTCCTTTGCACGCAAAGCCAGGTATGTCATGAGCTCAGTCTCGCTTTCATCATCCGCTAAAGAAAGCCTCTAGGAATCATGATCGCAATGTCCCCTACCATAACCCTCAAAGGCGCCGTCAAATTCTCCATGAAGAAGCTCGTCGCCGGCGGCGAGATAATGACATCCACCTACACCGGCCCCGGCGAACTCCTCTTCTCTCCTCCCTTTCTCGGAGACATCACCACCTTACGTCTTACAGGCAAAGAGCAATGGAATGTAGGCAAGGACGCCTTCATGGCTGCTACGCAGGGTATTGTGAAGGAGTTGAAGAACCAGGGGTTTAGCAAAGCTATGTTTTCAGGGGAGGGACTTTTTGTCTATAAGATGAGTGGGACAGGGATCTTATGGTTGGCGAGTTTTGGTGCTATTATTAGGAAAGATGTAAGCTTCGAAGTTCCTTTTCCCCATCGTGCGACCTCTACTGACATAGATCGCAGCTCGTTGAAGGCGAGAAATACATCATCGACAACGGCCACCTCGTAGCCTGGAACTGCAAGTACGTGATGGAGCGCGTAGCAAGCGGAGGTATCATCTCCGGCATCAGCAGCGGAGAAGGGTTGGTCTGCAAGTTTTCAGGGCCGGGGACTGTATTCATGCAGACAAGGAATCCGAAGGAGTTTGCAGCATGGATGGGAGCACATGCTGCTAATGCTTGAAATGATGAGCGAAGAGTTGTAAATGCTATCTATCTATCTTCCATCAAGCCATCACTGGCATGTCTTTGAAAGGAATGCTACCATGGCCTGTAGCCTAAGTATGCCGTGTGAAAAGAACATTCGTTTGAAGAAAATTTGACAACTGTATCCCCTTCAGTCGTCCGATATGAGCTTGTGCAATCTTGAATGTAATGTACCACAAACGATGGAAGTATCCCCATCCATTGTCCATCTTCGCTGTCGTAAAGCCTTCACAATTTCACTATACGCCAACCCTCTTTTGCATATCTCGCAGCAACCATGAGGCATCCACCGACCAGAACAGTCAAGGCAGCGAACAACTGTGCACCCAGATACCCGCCATTCTCACGCTTGATGATAACCCCACCGATCGGGCTGCCCGTAAGTGCCGCGATGCTGATCCACATGAAGACAAACGCGACCCTCACGCCCTTCTTGAGCGGATCGTCTGCGAACTTCCAGATAACCGGGTTGTACAACCCCTGCACCGCACCGGAGAAGAACCCGTAGAAGCAAGCGACGACCGTGATACCGGTGTGGCTCGTGGCGCTGATCCAGGTGAACAGGAGGACGGACGTCGCAAAGATGCACGGGATGATCGTGTTGACTGGGCCGAGGAGGCGGTCTGAGAGGAGAGGAAGGAGCAGGCGACCTGGGAGGTTGGCTCCGTTCATGAGGATCAGGAGGGTGACTGATGCGTGGTTGTCGAGGTGTAGGTGAGACTGAGCGTATGCTACGATGAAGTAGAAGCTGAAGTAGATGCCCCAGAAGGTGAGGAAGAAACCTAGAAATCGGCATCAGAATGAGTTGAGAACGGTAGTAGACCTGGACCGCAAAAGTGTCACATAAGGCCACGACCATGATTTAACTATGACTGATGAACCGTACGTACCAGCTGACATCAATAGGAATGGCACATCCGTGAACATAGCCCAGTCCATTTGAGTTCTGCCGTTGCTGGCATTTGGACCCTGACGAACAATACAGTTTGCGACAACTAAGGTGCCTCCAGCAACAGCGGCGAAGACTAATAGCTTGTTAATTCATCAGGTTCATAGCGGAGGACGGGCTCTACTATACTTCTCAGTGTAAAAGGAAATCCTTTTTTGAAGACGAGTTGCTCGGCGATCGCTGGATACACCATGCCACCTTTTCCATTAGTAAGAACTATCAAATATCATGGTCAAGAAGTCTAGATCACGTACCGACAGATCCACCTGCAGACGTAAGACCAGCTGCGATGCCTAAGTGACTGGTGAAGTACGACTGCAGGACCAGGATCCCACTCCCAAAAGCCATGCCCATGCCGATGCCCGTCAAGATCCCTTGAACGAATAATAGTTCCCAGAACTTATAGCACCAGCTAGTGCTCAAAATCGACACGAACATCAGAAAACAGCCTCCGTTGAAGCCGAGACGGAAGTGGCCTTTGTCAATAAGTGGGCTAACCATGATGCTCATGGAAAAGAGAAAGAAGAGCTGAAAGCTCCCGATCCAGGCAATTGTAGCTGGTGATTCTGTAGGGAGGAGAACGGCCTCATAATAGGCCTGGAAGACACCGTACGACTTGATGCAATGTCAGTAGATATGGCGATAATGTTCGTTCGGACACTTGCCTGAATAAGTCCTCTGTAGTGAAGTTAGTAATATTTCGGGTCAGTAAACCGACAAAAATCACTCACTGAGCATTGAAGATTACTAAAAACCCGCCGACAACCTGGAGCCAGGCCATAGCTGCTTGGGTAAGTTGCATAGGCATGACTTTCAGACTGAAGAAACGCTGGGTTTCTTGCCGACTATATACGCGTTTGGATAGGATGTACGGAAGCTGAGTTCAATAGATGAGAGTTTAGTTCTCCGTAGCTAGACGCGTTTGTATGGCTGTAAAGAAGCTGAATTTATCAGATGGGAGTTTTCTTACCCGGGGCTGGACGCGTTTATATGGACGTAAAGAAGCTGAGTTTGACAGATGAGAGTGTTGTTATCTGTGGCTAGACGTGTTTGTATGGGTGTAGGGTAGTTGAATTCAAAAGATGAGAGGTTTGTTACCGGTCAGACGCGTGGATGTGAAGGAATTTGAAGAATGGGCTTGCTGTGAGATGGTGGTGATTGTTGCTTTGTCCTATGTGACGAGAAATAATTGTCAAGCTCGGTTAATACTTCTGTGATCAGTCTTTACTAAGGCGTAGTGACGACCTAGATATGTTATTCACTTCCTCTTTACATAATCGGCCATCCTCTTGTCAAGACTGTTCTGTTCAGGATCATAGAGGCATTGCATTTATAGCCTCTGTCGAGGTTATCTGCTAATCATTGGTATGCATCCCTAAGATCTTCTCACCTGAAGTGACGACCATTAATTTAAGACCTCTCATCAAATTGCAAGATAGGTCCAGTACCACAAGTGTCAAGAGCTACCTCAAGGACTGATAGATCAATCACGGATTAATACATAGAAAATCCCCCAGAGGCCGAAATAGCTTGCCCTGTGATCCACCGGCTACTCTCCTCGGATAGGAAGCCCACAATCTGAGCTATATCGTCTGTAGTACCAAGTCTACCTTCGACCGGTGTCATCTTCTTGTGCATCTCGACGAGCTCCTTCGGAATCCCATCGAGTACATCTGTCGGTACAGGCCCCGGGTTAACTGTGTTGACAGTATGGCCCTGAGGGCCCAATTCAGCTGCAAAGCATCTTGTCATTCCTTCCACAGCAGCCTTCGAGGAACAGTAAAGAGAAAGGTCCTTAAGACCTAGGCGAGCGCCAACGGAGCTTACGTTGATAATTCGACCAGGTGCACGTAAGTGAGGCAAGGCCACCTTGGACATGAGAAGAACAGCTCGGACGTTAAGATTGTAGACATAGGAGAAGTCATCGGCAGAAATGTCGCCAAGTCCCTTGACCATCTCGCATCCAGCATTGTTCACTAAGATGTCAATATGGTCCCCAAATGCTGAGCGTGTGGCCTGGACGATCTTCTCTGGAGCATCGACCTGTCGCAGGTCTGCTTTGACCTTTGCAGCTGCGGAACCATTTTGCAATTGCTCTATTCTCTTGACCAGCTCATCCACGCTCTTCTCGCTACTAGGGGAGGTAAAGGTCACAACGACCTATGCAATACACTTTATTAGCCAAGTAACAGGATGCAGATAAGGTTGTCTCACTGTTCTCCGCTTACTTTAGCACCACGCTTCGCCAGTTCATATGCAATTTGTGCTCCAATCCCGCGTGAGCGCGAAGCCCCGGTGACAATGGCTACCTTTCCCTCAAGACTGAGAGCCATGTCACGAGTCAGTAGAGAGAACAAGCGATCAATGGGTGGCACGTAAAGGTAAAGTAGGCCTACCTTAGTGGTACGAATTGAGGCTTCGGCCTCTCCTAAAGTAATGGCCGATACGCTGCCCGGATATCCGGATATCTATTGCCAAGATTGCCAAGCCCAGCATAGCCTTCTTTAGAAACGCTCGAGAACCTGACCACCCACCACACGACTGACCTTCTACGAACATTTTCTTCCCTTTTGCCCTTGATAAATCTGCGTACTTCAACCATAGAGCCTGCCCTTCTCACAGACAGTAGCAGAGTTCTTCTACTTGATGAACTAAACCGCAACTGGCCACCATGCGCAATATGGAGGAGCAGAGTGCGGCCATGACCAACAGGTCCCTTCGCACAATACGCAATGTTAGCCCTGCCAACCGTAGAGATCAGTCGGTGTACTACTAAATAATCAATAGGAACTTGAATTTCTTTCCGATTCGGCCGTCATCACCTCCAATCAACTTTCTACCCTTCTCTCACAATTGCCCGCCCAAAAATCGCTCCATGCTCCTCTACCAAGCCCGCAACCTACATTCACTCCTGCTCATACGACTCCCTTATCACCACCGGTCACCGAAATGACAACCGCATCCTTGAACGAAAAGCAAGGCAGCTTTTACGCTCCAACACCTCAGTCCGCCCTCCCACCCCCAGCATATGCCTCCTCTCCAGCTCCTTCCGCCCTTGCCACAGCCTCTGCTCTGTACGAATATCACCCATCAGATGCTGGCGACCTCGCTATCCTGCCCAACGACCGCATCCTTATTACCGAATTCATGAATGCCGACTGGGCAAAGGGACGAAACGAGCGCACCGGAATGGAAGGCATATTCCCTCGAAGTTACGTTGCTATCATCGATGAGAAGGGTGCTATGGGACGCTACCAACCCCCTCTGCCCCCTATGCAATCTAACTATGGTAACATGCCAGTGGATGTCAGTCAGAGTGGGAGCAGCTCGGCGCCTGGAAAGGAGAGCAAGCTCAACGCAAATGGGAAGAAATTCGGGAAGAAAATGGGCAATGCTGGTGGGTCTTGTTCTTGAAGTTAAATGGCTACCTGATTTGCTAACTCAATTCAGCTATCTTCGGTGCTGGGGCTACGATCGGATCGAACATTGTCAATGGGATTTTCTGAGGACAGGGCAAAAATCTTGGGGCCACATATCCTACGTGCAGAAACGGCGTTTAGTAAGATGACGCCGGACATAGGGAAATATTCATAGACCACGCTTTGTAATGACAACAAGGCTTTTTCATAACATCTCATACCCTTTGTCTACCTGAGTCACCTCGCAGTGCGGTCTTCGGTGTTGGTCGACGGGTCTCGGGTCTCAGCTGCGGTTATATCCGTGCGCCGCCGCTACCGCTGCAACCGAGCAACCAAACGATCAACGATCAGCATTATCGATGACGAGCAGCCCAAAAAGACTTTCATACCATCCTCCAGATCCTATCCTTTTCCCACAACATTCAAAATTTCCGAAGTTCCAGAAATTTCTCACTCGTACTAATTCTTTTGTATATAAAACGTCCGTATCTTCCCAATCCAAACCATTACTCCATAGCTATGCCTTTTCAATACAAGAAAGTCCTTGTCATCGGAGCCACCAGTGGAATCGGCAAGGCGCTAGCATCACGTTTCGTCCAAGAGGGAAGCATTGTCATTGTTGTTGGTAGGAGAAAAGAGAACCTGGAGGCATTTGTCCACGAGCATGGCAAAGACAAAGCGAGCGCTGTCCCATTCGATATCACAGAGCTGGACAAGATCCCCAATTTCGTCACGAAGTTAGTGTCTAGATCGTGGCCTAGCTGGATCTATACTTACTTGCTTTAGTATCACTAAGACCCACACTGATCTCGACTGCGTCCTATTGAACTCTGGCATTCAGAGAATGTTTGACTTTTCGAAGCCCGAGACCGTCGATATAGACGTTGTCCAGACAGAGTTCACCACTAATTACCTCAGCAATCTTGCTTTGACCAATGCTTTTCTACCGTTTCTGAAGAGCAAGAAGGGGGAGTCGGCGCTGATTTAGTAAGCAAAGCTGTCCGTCGGGCATAGCAGGATGTGCTACTGACCTGTGTGAAGTACGACCTCTTCGCTTGCCTTAGTCCCAATCATACGATGTGCGAACTACTGCGCCAGCAAAGCGGCCTTGCATCATTACATCTTGTGCTTGCGTGAGCAGTTGAGAGGATCTACAGTCAAGATCGTAGAGCTCTACCCGCCAGCTGTGCAAAGTATGCCCTTCCGACCCTCCCACGTCTAGACCAAATACTAATAATGCAACCACAGCCGAGCTTCACGACGAAAAGCACCAGCCGCAAATCAAGAACGGAAGGCAGTATGGCATGCCGCTTGATCAGTTTACCGATGAGGCGTACGAAGGCTTGGCAGCTGGAAAAGAGGAAGTTACAGTCGGAAGCGCGCAAGACTGGTACAATAAGTTTGAGTCTGCGAGGCAAGAACTTTTTCATGGTATCGTCAAGATGAGGAAGCAGATGGATGACAAGTAGCCGTCACGTAGCAAGCGAACATGGTAGATGCCCAGTAATAAAGAACCCGATGCCGCCTTGGCTTTTCTTAAGGCAGCTGGAGGCAGTGGAAATTTCCCCAGTCTGATGTCGACTCGGTTCTTTCGAAGTGTTGAGATTTGCTGCAGCACCTGTGTTGAAGCTACCCCACATGGTGGCAAAGAGGGGTATAAGTAGCCCCCTCAGCACTCTTATAGCTACTTAATCAATTAATCCTTCATACCATTTCCAACACGAAGACAGCCGACGGCAACGGCCCCTATTAGTCTCGACCCGTTCGGCTTGACCACTGCTAAGGCATTACCTTCCCCAGCGCTTCCAAGGTGCTGACACCCAAGGCACGGCTCAGAAACAAGGATCCCACCTGTCGCCCGAACCTTTCACGGCACCAGACGGTGGCGACGGCAATTCAACCCTTGCCTTGTTTCAGCCATTCCTGCCTCTTTTCAAACAGCTCTCCTAGCCCCCCCCCTGCAAATTTGTCCCTTATTCCTTGTCCATGGAATTATTCCCGATGCTTTCATACTATCCAGCACAACTGTGTTCGCGGCCAGCATCGCAAGGAAGAGCTGGTCAATCTCGTATGAGCCTAGACAGCTGCCTGTTGCAGATACAATAGTACTCCGGGCTGCATTCAGTCTCCACTTCAGAGCGAACGGCTAACCCACAAGACAACAAGTTTACGGAGACAGCTTCTGCGGGAAGTAAGAGGATGTTCTTGTGCTCTGTCACAATACCTTCACAAGCTCAAGATCTTCCATTGCATCATAAGACACTCATGACCGAATTCAAGATTGAATACCAAATACGTCGGGATAGCGAAGGCAAGGAATCCGTGTACAAGGTCTACCTCCCTTCCACGTACAAAGGGTGGGCAATTAAGGCCGAAAGGAAGGATGCCGCCAGTCCTGGCGCAGATGCATTCCCATCAGAGATTCCTGTAGGCGACCTTCAATTCAGACAAAAAAGCAATCCACCAACAGTAATCTGACAATGCTCAAATTTCGCAGATGGAAGCGGAGAAGCCATCGAACGACCACCAGGTCATTACGGTTCTCTCCTTATAGGTAACAGGGTGCTTACATTTACATCAGGAACCATCAGCACAAGACTTTCATGATGGACCAGTACAAAAGTATTCGCATTGCCTGCGACGAAGGGGCGGCTCTGAGTATCAACTTGAGCAGTTGACCAAACTCAAGGCGGTCAATGGCGTCGTGTCGCCTTCCAGGGTAGAGCCCGGCCAGTCGCCAATCAGAACTCATTATAGGCCAAGCAAAGACTACGCTCGGGTTGGGACTCGGCGAACTAACATGCGCTGCCCCATCTGCGGCGACTGGTTTCCTAGAAAGGAGAATGTTTCAGGTCACTTCATTCATTGCGTTGCCAGGAATGGGAACCCGCAGGGATACTACTGGGACGGTGCGTTGAACGATGAGCGTCGCATTGGGAAGCAGATAGCCGAGCTGTATTGCAAGAGGGGCGGGGGAGGGGACCAGGATACTGAGACCTCGACAGATGACGGAGGTTCTGGTAATGATCCTCACACAATCAGCTACGAGCCCTCGGAGCCCTGCAGCTACAGCCAACCCTCGGGTTCTCGCTCCCTGGCAGTGACGCCTTGCTTGCGCCACGACCGTAACGACTATACTGGGGTATCTCTCCCGACCCAGACTCGGACAGAACACGGCTATGGAAATCGTGTCTCTGAGTTGGTGGACGAAGAAGTGGATGACAGGAATATTGCTATCCCAAAAAATAATAAAGAGCGGCAAGCTAAGACACCCGCGAATGCTACACAGGTAACTGGGCCCCTCTCACACAGACTGTCGTGATGCTCATGTATGCCTCAGGGTCCACCATCAGAGCAGCTTCGAGACCCACAAGCGCATAGACTTCCTTTGCGCTATGACAACATCAAGAGAGCATGGGTCTCGACCACGCCTGAGACCGTGGAACAACGCAGGAGTGAAGCCAATACTATTAGAGCAAGCGGCTATGATAATACCCATGGTGACTTCGATGCTATCCATCGAGTCTCGAAGACCGGGGTCCCTATACAATCAAGTCAGGTATGCCACACCACAAGCAGCGCCTACACTAGTCCAACTCTCGGAGACCTCCGTGCTGGCAGGTCGACTGTGTCATCCCCTGGTAATGCGACGACTTCATTGACTAGCCCAGTCGGCTATCCAAATCGACAACGCTATTTGCAACCAAAGCCACATCCCTCTTCGCTACCGTCAGGTGCGAAGAAACGCCGGATACCCTCAGAATTATCGCCGCTGTCCCAAAGCTCAAAGCGTCAACGAATGTTGTCAACACCCGTATTGCCCTCTCAACAGGAAAATCTGCTTCAACCGAAGACAGCGGCAGGTCCACGCAGCCAGCCTAAAGAGCGGGGACATCAGCGTTCACCAACAATCGTAGAAGGATTAGCCCTGAGCTTGTCTAGAACCCGATCAACTTCTGGCGAGATGATGGAAGAAAATCATGCCGGAGCGCGCCAGTCTAAAGGACTAGACCTGAGAATGAATACAGAGGCAGCTGAGTCTGCTGCTGTGCCAACTTCCGGAATCGAGCCGACGCCTGGAGATGAGCTCTGCGCGGACTCCATTAAAAGCCACAAAGAGTTTCGCCGAGAACTTGACATTCTGGCTCGTGAGATTGACGCTGTTAACAAGCGAGCCGACACGGCCGAGCTACGGGTACGGATAGCAGAGAACATGGTTTATCAGGCGAACAATGCTGGTTTCGCGAAGTTGAAGATGCAGGAAGATACCTACAAGAAAGAAAACGAGAGACAGCAGCGAGCGTATAAATCTCTCATGATACGTTGCGATGCGCTAGAGCTGAGCATAAGTGGGAAGAATCAGGAAATAGATGAGCTGAAATGGGACTTAAAGCATGAGCAGCAGATGTCTGCGATTGTGAGGAGTGAGCATGCAAGGCGCCATTGAGAAGTTGGGGCTTCGGGCCACCGTTGAGTAGAGAGAGTTTGCTAGTGCTGGAATCAAGAGACATGCAATGGAACGAGTTTACAGAGGCTGGAACCAGCGGCTTGGTGGTACTCAATGCCTGTGAGACGTGCCAAAGGACGCGGATGTGAAATGATCAGCGCCTTGACAGTAATCCAGGGCTGGAGATACATGCCACTTCTTAGATATTGCATCAATAATCGAGGACCCTCGAGAATCGATCTCTCTACATGTTGAACTCATTGTTATTGAATTGTACTAGTTGAAGATCCAATCAAGGAGTTGAAATGAGTGTCTGCTGGTAGGGCTGAGAATTCTACCCTATGAGTACCGGAGATACGCTAATGCCGGACTTATTTCAACGACGTTTTTTCTCTCTCCCCAAATTGAGTCACCGCCGTGACGAAATCTGGAACTTCGTTGCCATTGGGATTGATTTCGTCTCCTTCAAACACTGTAAATTGAACAACCCAACCCTGCGGATATAAATAGCCTTGCAACGCAATGAACGCGGGAAAGTCCCCCGGCTTCCCCAGGAAAAAGTGTGGTCAGCATGCCCTATGACCTGACTGCAGCCCCAATTTGACAATGCTACAGGAGTCCTCGGATGCACTGGCTCCGTCGGGCAACGTTTTATGCTTCTTCTCATGGATCACCCTCACTTCGACCTCCACGCAATTGGAGCCTCCTCTCGCTCGGCCGGCAAGAAATACGGGGATGTCGCGCCATGGAAGCAGACGAAAGCATTGCCAGAAAAATACAGAGAGCTCGTGGTGAAGCCTTGTGAGCCGGAAGAATTCAAGGACTGCGATATAGTCTTCAGTGGGTTGGACTCTTCCGTCGCAGGGGAAATCGAGATGGCCTTCCTTATGGCTAATTTGGCGGTGTTTTCGAATGCGAAGAATTACCGTCAAGATCCTCTTGTTCCGTTAGTTGTGCCAACATTGAATTTGGATCACTTTGAGGTCATTCCGAGTCAGCGGAATCACTACAAGATCGACAAGGGTTTCTTGGTGTGCAACAGTAACTGCGCCGTGATTGGCCTCGTGATTCCCTTCGCCGCCATCGAAGCAGCCTTCGGTCCCATCGATATAGTAAGCGTGGTTACAGAGCAAGCACTCTCAGGTAAATGCGACCCCTTACACGGTCATCGGCAGAGCTGACCATTCCTAGGAGCAGGCTATCCTGGTGTGCCCTCGATGGACATCCTTGACAATGTGATACCGTACATAAGCGGAGAAGAAGACAAGATGGAGTCGGAGACGAGGAAGATTTTAGGTCACGTTAACAAGGAGAACATGGCATTTGTCCAACGGTCAGACATCAGGATATCCGCTACCTGTACGAGGGTCAATGTGACAGATGGACATATGGCCTTTGTATCTCTACGCTTTGCGAAGAGGCCACCGCCCAGTGCGGAGCAAGTCAAGCAGGCTATGAGAGAATATGTCTCAGATGCTCAAAGACTTGGTTGCCCATCGGCTCCAGATGCAGCGATCACAGTTCTCCAGCAGGTGGACCGACCTCAGCCACGACTCGATCGGGATGTAGGCCGGGGTTACTCTGTTAGTGTGGGTAGGGTGAGAGAAGACAAAACGGGGGTATTCGACCTCATGTTCGCTGCTTTATCTCACAATAGTAAGTTTACATCAGACTCTACGAAACCTTTTTGACTAAGCAACCCGCACAGCTATCATCGGGGCTGCTGGATCATCGATACTGAATGCAGAAGCTGCCGTTCTAAAGGGATTCGTATGACAGCATTGTGGGGGAACCTGTATCTGCTATCTCGGGGCTTCTCAGATACCCAGTCATGGATGTCGCCCTGTAGAGACACGTAGAATGATGTGGAAGAGGCGTTCAACCAACCAGTGATCTGGTCTGTCTATCCTGCGCGCCAAATGGTCCAATCATTGATAGCTTCGACATTCTGGTCTAAACATACGCACGAGGAGACCCATTCCTGCGTCACGTCACCGCTGTGTCTAACCTGGAGCGCCTTTATCTCCTCCAACCGGCCCAAGGTGTCTTCACATTTCTCTCAGTCTAGTTCAGAAGTGCGTTGGTATCACGCCTCTCACTGTATGCAGCCTAGAGAAGCCAATTGGACCTGAAGTGAGAAAGGAGCCTTTTATAGTCCCTGGCTCAACGAGGCCAATTCAGAAAATAAGCCAACCAAAGGTGTACCACACGAAATTCAATGAACGGCGCGTGCTTTATGCTGCCCTTTCAATCCCATCCCTCCATCAACCTCAGCAGTCTTGAGCATAACCGCAAGGGCTCCGAGATGGACCAAAGTCATCTAGAGAAAATTAAAAAGGAATGGCTGACCATGACCAGGAGTATACACGTGAAGCCTCTACCAACCCGTTACGCTTTGGCAGAACATGGCTTGGGATCTGGAGAAAGCTTATGTGCTCGAAGGTTGAACTACCAGACTCGGTGGCAACGGCATGCTAGCGTGCTGCTTGATGCTGCTCCTTGGGTGAATGTCGGTCATTTTTTACGAACGATACTTGGCAGTGGTGAATGGTGAGGCAGGGCTGCGGGTTCTTTCTCTCTGGAGGTGGATGCGGCAAGACTGGTTTTAGGCAACCGATGCGAACATTCAAGGAAAGCACACAAGCAGATCTCTGGCGTCAGCAACGGTATTGCTACTGCCGTAGACACCGTTGGGTTGGCGATCTTTTCTGGGCTCTAAAACGCCATCAGAGTACTGGCTAAGTCCGCTTTACAGCACATTGTGCGTAATTGAGCAGCCTATCTATCTCGAAAGCAGGGTATTGCATGGTTACGCTGAGGCCGCATTGTCTTTCTCAACTTCTTTCAGCATTGTGTAAAGCGCTACCATTGTCTGATGTACATTTATAGAGTACCTTATCCGAGTACTGAAGCACTTGCATATTTACGCCTCGACAGATTGGGAATCTGCATCCTCAAATACATCCAGGAACGTGAGTGAGCCTTGGGCAGAAGCAGACGTTCCTTCGCAGGACGCTGGCACCGGAGGAGATGGTGCACCTTCAGCAATTAGAATGGTCAGCGCTTGCGTCTCGGACATTCGAATCCTACAAATATCATTGACATGAGCGCAAGATGAGCTTCCATGAGATCCCATTCTTGGAGGACTAAATGGACGATGCAACCACAATAATCTGATGTAGTCCCTGATGCAGAGGCTGGGTTTGAAGCATTCTCGTAGGGAGCTGCACTTGTTGCGCTTCACCTCCATAGTCAAGTAGAAAGTCAGCTGGCCGAGATACATTGGCAACGACTGAGAGTACGGTAGGAGACTGATCTACTACCTTTCCCACCAGATCTGAGGATCGTGGATTCAGAAGCCAATCGAGCAATCGAGGGCTTGACGCTAGAAAACTCGGTAAACAAAGCCGATCAGACCTTTCCTTCCTCTTCCATCCTCCATTTCAAGACATACTTCATCACAACAACCACAGTCCTCGATCAAGAAGACTTCGAACTCTGCACGATACGATAGACATTCGTGTGAGTATATTGCCATCACCACATTAAATCTGCAACCATCTCACCCTTCTCATCTTCACGTCACCAGCCTCAAGTCACGTCACCTCATCTCGACCTTCCCAGCTAATCATCGATCACAGTCATCATTTCATCAAAGCTACATCTCAAACAAGACGTGAGCATCTATATAGCTCTGCAGCATAGTCGACAGCAATCCCATAATCAAAATACGCGTGATAAGCTGACGCTACAGCCAGAAAGACGCGAATCATGTCGGACTGGAACGCTGCTGGTGAGTCTCTCCAATCCTCCCCTGACCTGCTTCGCAATTTCTCTTCCACACACTCCAAATTCCATCTGCATCACTGCATCACTGCATCACTGCATCACTGCCTCACGTTCACTCATTCGAGCTTAATTCTCCAGATGAGACAACCTGGCTAATCAGGGTCTCTCATCTCAGCGGGTGGCGCAGAATGGGACTCCGGTGCTGGAGCTGCTGGCAATGCTTGGACTGATGGCGTTGACGCTGGTGCGAGTGCTGGCGGCGACTTCGGTACTACGAACGGCGATGCCACTCAGAAAGGAGCTGGAGCTGGAGGGGATTTCACGTGCCGTCGGTAAGTTCAGCAAGCTTGTCCTACTGCACAAGGTATTGAATGCTGACACGACGTAGCTGCGGTGAAGCTGGGCACATGGCTCGTCAATGCCCGACCGCTCCCGAAGGTAGTGGCAATGATGGCAAATGTTTCAATTGTGGCGAAGAAGGGTGGGTCTCCAACCTTCGGGCTTGACTTGATGCTGATACGCTCTGTAGCCACTCAAAGGTCGACTGTCCCAACCCTCGTGTGTTCAAAGGGACCTGCCGCATTTGCGAGAAGGAAGGTCACCCAGCTTCTGAATGTCCCGACAAACCTCCACCCAAATGCTTCAACTGCAAGCAGGAAGGTATCTCATCATTCTTCACAGTCTGGCCGATCACTTGTTGCTGACACTGCTCCAGGGCACCAGACCTCGGAATGCAAAGCAAATCGGGTCTTTGACACGTCTCGTGTAGCTGACATGTCTGCCGAGGATGCTTGGGAAGCCCTTCAGAAGGCAGATGAGGAGCGTGAATTGGAGGATTTCCGTGAGGTGCGTGGTAACAAAAGATGCCTTTACAAACGAAACATTAACTTCTCTCATCAGGCCTTCAGAGTCTACACCAAGGTAGCTTCCGATGCCACGTACGATGAGCTCGAGACGGCATTTCGTGTTAATAATTTCAATACGTATCTCATCGCAACAGAGAACGAGTTACTTAAGACTCATACATACGTCAATCTCCAAGGAGAACTTGACAAGACCTACAAAGTCGGCTTCCATTTAAGCCCTAAGCCAAAGCGCGAGACCGCGAAGCAAGGATGGCCAGAGACACCGGAGGAGAATCTTGAGCGTCTCAAGGATGCTGGTCTACCCATGGAGCGTGGTATTCCGAAGTGCATACGCTGTGACGGTAAGGTCTCCACACCCATCTGTTACTTGGTATGACTACTGACTCCCTTTAGAGCTTGGCCACACCGCTCGTGCCTGCCCCGAGGAGGCTGTCGAGAACACAGATAGGGTCCAAGTCAAGTGCGTGAACTGTGAGGAAGTCGGCCACCGTGCTCGCGACTGCCCTACACCGCGAGTGGATAGATTTGCCTGCCGTAATTGCAAGTAAGTCATGTCAAAGCCTCCTGCTCCGACCCTTCCGTGTCTAATCCCATCCAGACAATCCGGTCATACATCCGCTGAATGCACCGAGCCACGCTCCGCTGAAGGAGTCGAGTGCCGCAAATGCAACCAAAGTCAGTCTCTCTTCGTGCAATCGTCTTCTGTTCTTATCCTGACAGCTTGCAGTGGGACACTTCTCGAAGGACTGCCCTACTGGTGGGGGAAACAACTGCCGCAACTGCGGTAAGGAGGGTCACATAAGCAAAGAGTGCGACAAGCCGCGCAATCCAGCAACTGTGACATGCCGAAATTGCGATGAGATGGGACATTTCAGCAAAGACTGCCCCAAGCCTCGTGACTATAGCAAAGTCAAGTGTTCTAATTGTGACCAAAGTATGTCGACGAGCTTCTTATGCCTGCACCGAATTGCACTTCGCTGACAAAAAGGCAGTGGGCCATACCAAGGTACGATGCAAGGAGCCAATAAGAGAAGTTGACGATGGAGGCTTTGGTGCCGGCGGTGACACAGGCGGTTTCGATGCCCCGGTCAGTGGTGAAGATTTTGCCGCTCCGGCCGCCGGAGGAGTAGATGAGTGGGCTGCTGGCTCTGGAGGAGCGACTGATGAGTGGGGTACCGCGCCAGCGGCTACGACTGTGGGAGGAGGAGGTCAAGACAACTGGTAGATGTTGCCATGTGCTTGATCCATGGCTGGTGGTACACTTCTCTAGCTTTCTTGAGAATTGATCTGACGGCTGGATGACAGCTTATTCCGCAAAGAATTAGCTAAATTTTAAGACATCTGGTCAACCCAGGTCCAGAACAGCTATTACTCCCATTCTGATACAAGTAGTTGAATCAAGGTTAGACATCATCGTCGACAACACAGGCCCCGTGGTGGCATAGATCTCGAGACAGAAAGTCTTCCTGCACCTGTCGATGGTTACAGATTTGTGTTTGAAGCTTTGAAGACGGGTCTTTCAAAGCATGTCGTCTCTTAATAGGGCAGACGCGAGTCATGCAACCATGTCGCCCTGTAGATCTATGAATTTAGCGTATTCAAAAACATCTGGAATGCTTGGCACCGGAGATCTTTCACACCACACACCCAGATTCGTACTGTAGCATAGAAATCTCTCCGCAAAATTATTCAATAACACTGCTATCGTTAGTATAGGTCCCAAATAAAAAGATAAAGCTATATTGAAGTTTTAATATATTCCTTAATGTTAGTAACTCAGCTAAAAAAGCCTGATCCCGGGGGTATCTACGCTTAACAGTCAGACACCCCTATTTAGACCTAAATACTTGTAGGGCCCCCGTAGGGCCGTCGCAGGGTACCCGTAGGGACTGCTGCTACCACTCAGCCCCCCATTTATCTGTTTCTGAGCTTCTTAAGCAGAGGCTATTTCAGTAATTATAGGGGGAGTTCTTACTGCGACGGCGGCGGTTCGGTGACTGTTATGTTATTGATGCGTTTGGGAGATATAGCTAAGGTCATATAGCTTCAAAATTGATTAAATGCGACTATTTGCGATGTGGCTACTTGATTTGAATGATTTTGCGGAGAGATTTCTATGCTACAGTACCACAGTACGAATTTGGGTGTGTGGTGTGAAAGATCTCCGGTGCCAAGCATTCCAGATGTTTTTGAATACGCTAAATCGCTACGCCGCTTAGCCAAAACCTGCTTGCCCCGCTTCTCCGCAATCTCATCCCGCCGGCAGAGATCTTCGAAGAGGACCTCATGATTGGAAGTATGTTGTTTTATTGAGGCTCTCGTACACTGGAAACATCACACGGCTTGTGACGCTAATGCGAGCCGTGCTACCAGCAGTTCACGTTATCTTCGGATGGCTTCATCTACAAATAGCAGGCGTGCGATTGCCCTGCATCTATCTCTGCTACCTCAAGCATATCCTACAGCCGTGATCCCCGCATTATTCCTGCAGAATTTCTCTAGTTGAAAGACTAGAAGCCGTTTTGCAGCTATCTTATTGGAACGTCCTTCCCAATTACGTCGTGCATTTCCTGCACCGTTTATGCCGCGTCTCAAATCCTATTTGAACCTTTCTCTGTGGATATAAAGTCGCTCATGCCTTTGATATATCGAATGTTCTTCTCTGCTTGACCTTTCCTCAGTTTGCGCTGCCATTGAACGGACCCTGCGCTTAGGAAATATGTTTGGAAGTTCCCGCTATTTCGGCCTCAAGGGCACACGGCTCAACGTCGCTGTTGGTGTCCTAGCTGGACTGGACTTCTTGTGAGTCTTATGGACTACAATTGGACCGTTGCATGCTGATGGAACACAGACTCTTTGGCTATGATCAAGGTGTCATGGGTGGTCTTTTGACCTTATCGTCCTTTGTGAAAACCTTCCCGGAGATTGATACCACGGCCGCAACGGAAACGGCTCAGCATCTCAACGCCTCTCAGAAAACCCATAGATCGACCATCCAAGGTGACTTGGCAGTGCATTAATAATACCGTGCCAGCAGCCGACTGATCGGGGCACAGGTATTTCGGTCGCTGCTTACAACGTCGGATGTTTCTTTGGGGCTATTGCTACAATTTTTATTGGAGACCGCCTTGGTCGCCGAAAGACCATTTTTCTCGGCTCTTCGGTCATGGTTGTTGGTGCAGCGCTGCAATGTTCATCCTTTTCGTTGGCTCAATTCATCACTGGAAGATTGGTAACAGGGTACTAGCTATGATACTGTCACAGAGAAACATGCTGACGACAAACGCAAGCTTTGGCAATGGTCTCAATACATCGACTGTCCCAACATGGCAGTCAGAGTGTTCTAGATCTCACAGGCGGGGCCAACTGGTCATGATCGAGGTATTGTGGCCTGAAAGAGGCAGCATGTAAGAGCTAACGCGGTTGAATTTTTAGGGTGCAATGATCACTGGAGGCATCTGCTTCAGCTACTGGCTTGACTTTGGCTTCTCCTTCCTGGACCCGAGCACCATTGCCTGGAGATTCCCTATTGGATTCCAGATCTTTTTCGCGTTGCTTATCCTGCTTTTCGTCCTTAGGCTTCCAGAGTCGCCCCGGTGGTTGATCTTGAAGGGTCAGGAGGATGAAGCGATGTCAGTCCTAAGCGCTCTTAGTGATCTTCCGCCCGATGATGTAAGTCCTCGATTCATGTTGAGGAAGCCGGTCCGCTGACGACTCTTAGCCTTACGTTCACGGAGAATTCTCCGCCATCAAAGACACTGTTCTGGAGATGTCTCAAGGCGGTTTTCGAGATCTGTTCACGATGGACGAAAATCGACATCTTCATCGTACCATCCTGGCATATGTCAATCAGGTCTTTCAGCAGATTTCTGGCATCAATCTAATCACGTATTATGCAGCAACCATCTATCAAGAGGAAATTGGATTGAGTGGATTGACGTCGAGGGCCTTGGCAGCTGCGAATGGAACAGGTATGAACGGCCTTCAGCTCGGCTTTTGGGATATAGGAATTGAGCTTCAATGCAATAGAATACTTCGCGGCCTCATGGATCGCTGTCTTTACTATAGAGAGATTTGGCCGGCGTCAGCTGTCGGTACCCAGGCCTGGTCCTCTGTGATGCCTTGCTGACTCCAATTTAGCATGCTGTTCGGCGCCGCAGGTATGACGTTCTCGATGGCGATACTGGCGATCATGGTACGCATATGAGACCGTATGAACGATACGAAAGATTTCAGCTAAGCGCAATGCAGAACAAATACACTGGCAAAGGCACTGGCATTGTAGCAGCCCTCTTTCTCTTCATCTTTAATACTTTCTTCGCAATTGGATGGCTCGGTATGACATGGCTATATCCCGCTGAGATTGTACCCCTGCGTATTCGGGCACCTGCAAATGCGTTGTCGACATCTGCCAATTGGGTATGTACTTCATAGGTTCGAATTCGTCTCTCATCCAAGCTGACAAGGTCCATGCCTTCAACTTCATGGTCGTAATGGTCACGCCGGTGGCTTTTGCATCCATCCAATACAAGACTTACGTTATTTTTGCCGTCATGTAAGACCACATCCAGCTCATCCTTTCTACTCCCACACATCCCTCTCATCATGCCCATAAACTCAACCGCTAACCTTTCCTTGCACAGCAACGCCTTCATATTCCCGGTCGTCTACTTTTTCTACCCCGAAACCGCCTACCGCTCCCTCGAAGAGATGGACTCCATCTTCCGCAAATGCAGCTCCTACTTCACCCTCGTGAAAATCGCCCGCGATGAGCCGAGACGGTATGGCAAGAAGGGAGAATTACTCATCAATTACGAAGAGACGGAAGAGCATGCGAGGAGGGCCAGTATTTTGAGTCAGCCGTCCGAGAAGGCTAAGAAGGCGGAGGGGCTGGCGGTTGAGAATGAGGGTGTCTGAAGGAAGATTGCGGCAGGAGGTCTAGAGGCGCTTGATGAGAAGACACGCGAGCAGATGTCTCCAGATGATTTATTGCATCAGTCTAATTTTCGTAATCCTATCAAGCATCTATAACAGTGCTAAGTTACTCTTGATCTCCTTACGCACAGGCAACACGCCAGCCAGGAGGGCCGGCAAGCCGCCAATAACAAGCGGCAATCTTGGGTGCCGACTTCTTTCCATCACTCATGCGGAGATCCGCGCCAAAAGTCCTGGACGCCAGGATCTCAGGTAACGCCGCCTCCGCCTGAAGCGATGCCTAGGTAAACCAATCCGGGACCCAATGCCCCTATCTCGCCCAAAGGAGGTTCATACACGTGAACAGCAAAGTCGGTGTAGTCCCGGTCCGTAAGACGGTAGAATGATGTCGAGTCGGTTTGGGCGTCGTCTCGCGGGAGATGGCCCATTGCTCCCACGTTGCGTCCGTTGAGATCAGATTGGATTACTTTGCGATTGCAAGGTTCCACGGGGAGTCCGAATCAGGCTGCGGTAAGAGCGAGCGTAGAAAGCCTACGGCTACGCCGGAAGGATCGGAGTCGTTGTCGTTTGGGTGGGTAGCAGCCGGGGTTGAGAAGGCGGTCCGGCAGAGCAGAGGCTTGATATATGGATGGTTTGTGTCGAAGCAGAGGAGATGAGGCGGAGGCGCGGTAGTTTGGATGGGAATGATGTCGCGACGACGCATGCGGTGATGATGTGGGAATTTAAGAGTGCATTCGATCCACTGTGGCTGGATGTCTGCGAGGATGACGGCGGTTGCCCACATGTAGGGCTGTATGCTGGAGTCGTTGTTGTACTCTTTCTTGGGAATTCTACACATGACACCGCGAGGAGGGAGAGACTGGCTCTGGGCTTTGCTATGTCACCTTAAAGTACCGAATAAGTGGACTGCAATCTACTCATGAGTGGACTAGACGATGTATGAGGCAGACCATCTATGAGCTGACTGGCGTTTAATGTTTCAAGATTTGTAGACTGGATTGTGAGTGGACCGTTGCTGCTCTTATCAACTGCAGGTGGTTTGCAGTAGCTTGCATTAGCTTGCACCAACGGGACTCATCGCTGTCATGTACCTCCAGCCAGGGTCCACACAGCCTCGTCTTTCTGCTTTCAATTTTCATCTTCGAATGATCCAGATCTCAGATATCATGATAGGTGAGACAGGCCTGTAAAAGCGAGGTTGTGCAGTTGTGCGAATTGGATAGTTTGCCCCCCCCCCAATGACAGGAAAGTTGGCCCCCTTTTACGGGCCCTGATTCGGACTGGAACTGACCCACGGGCACAATAAAACAGAGCCACGCGGATTGACCGGCTTCTGAGAAGAATGAGCCGGTGGGTTACATTGGGATGGCATGACATGCATTAGTGCTGACCTGTAGATACGGCAACCCATTTGGACCAGGGGGTCAACCACCGAAAATCCGTTTTTCATTTTTTCATTTTTCCATTTTCCATTTTCCAATATTCGCTTATCCCACACCATTGCTACACACCAAGGCAATTACTTTAGATTCTGAAGAGTGCAAATTGTAGCGCGTATTCTATAATGTAGTTTAGAATTCGAGATTATATGAATTAACTTAATATTGGCGAAGTAATGTTTAATTGGAGGTTTTAGAGCCATCTATCTTAACTGTAACCCACTCTTCAACCAGTGATAATGACTCCACAATAATCACAGGAGCTTTGGGTATAATAATTCCAAGTCTTCTTTCAATAGTAGAACACTATTTAATGAATCACATCTGAGTGTTATAGAGCCATCGCTTGCGTTTTGATAGATCGATAAATAAATCGGGAGGTGGCTATGAAAAATGGTTTTGCGATTTTGCGATTTTCAAAAATTCGAAATTGCGGGGTTGACCCCCTGGTCCAAATGGGTTGCCCTAGTAGACTGTACGGGCACTTTCGGGGGTATGACGGGTCACGGAAACGAGTGGACGGCGCCGGACGGACATGTAGGCCGCAAGTTACTGCGCGCTTGTTTCTCCGAGCTGAATCGAGACTACGTGGAGCCCCGCCATTACATTACCTAGATAAGAACGATTCCCCTGATGCCAGCGTATTCCATGGGTTCATTGATATTAGCACGCGATTGCTTGGCGCTTAGCATTGTAGCCCCCAAATTCCACTTGCCTTCCTCAAGAAACACCTTATTGATATACTACTTCTATAAACTTGTATCTTTATTAAGTCCACTTAGGCCGGGGTCGACAGACGATCTGAGCGGTATCCACGACTTAATTACGTGCCCCGGTTGTCCCTGACCTTTTGATTCTTCATCTGGGGCCTGACTCAGCATGATTGCGGACATCTAACTCTTCTTCCAATGTCACAAAGCTACGCCACTCAAGATGCCACGAAGATATGCACCAAAGACACTGTCAAGGCTACAGGTCTCAATATTTGGGCCAGCGGTGAGCACAGTGGTAACGGACCCGAAGTAGAGTAAGACAAGTAATCCTTCGTGAAGTCCGTCAGTATCACTGACAAAGCGTTGAAGTGTTATTGCAGTTCAAGGTCTTGCTGGTGATAAATACTACACATGGGTTCGGAAACCTGATGCGAGGCCTACGAGACGTTGTTGCTTCAGTTTTCAAGGCCACCGGAGGAATGCTCAGGCTGACGCACTTCCCAATGGTGTTCGAGCGACATCCGACAGGACCGACACAGCGGAAGTTATGTGGCTTCGCGACTTCTTGCCGGGTCTAATTCCAACTGCGCGGATTGCGACATACAGCTACGAATCAGACTGGCTCAAAGGGAACGTCAAAACAAATCTACGCAAATGTGGAGAGCAGTTGCTCAACGTGCTTCGTCAGAATCGCTCAACCGAGAAGGTTGGTGGAACTGTTCTGGGCATTGTTTATGCATCATGACTAAGTGTCACTACAGGAGGGTCGACGGCCACTGGTATTCATTGGACATAGCCTCGGAGGTCTGATCATTAAACAGGTCGGTGTGATTTTGGCGCGAATTCCCCCTGTACTAAGCTCTCCACAGGCGCTAGTGCTGGCCGACCATGGTGATACTTTCAGAGACATTCGGTTGTCCACGGCTGGGATCATCTTTCTTGGAACACCACATGCAGGAAGCGAGGCCGCAGTGTATGGTGTCCGGCTGGCTCAGGCAGTGGGACACGATAAGACGTTACTCAAGTCTCTGACAAGGAATAGCACTGCTCTTCACGGTATTGCGCGGGACTTTGAGGCGAGCTATAGTGATAATGATATCGTTTGCTTTTACGAAAACAAAGACAAGGCGTACGGACCCTGGAAGACCCAGGTGTGCTAACTCCCACCCTTACACTAGACTGGTGGTGAGAGCTTACGATATGCACAGTTTGTTGATCATCAGTCAGCCTCCTTGCTCGGGAAAAGAGAAATTTATCTCTCTACGGATCACAGTGGGTTGAACAAATTCTATAGCTCCGAAGATGAAAATTTCCTCTTGGTGAGGCCAGAGATCCAGAGAATGGTTCAGAAGGCACCTCAAAGGAGCGAGGAACGATATCGATGTACGATCCATCTTCTCTCTACTCCCGAATTTATATCCTCCAAAGCTCCACTGACTCCTCAGAAGCACACACCGTGGGTACCGAAAAAGCACAGGGACTCCGAGATCGCCAAGAGGACCAAGAGACGCTATTACGCCAGACTTTTGCGTCAGATTACAAGAGTGATAAAGACCTGGTCTCAGAGAGGGTCCCCGGTACCTGCGAGTGGTTCTTCGAGGATGATAGATTCTTGGAGTGGCGTGATAGTAACACTTCAAGACTTCTCTGGGTCTCCGCGGGTCCCGGATGCGGAAAGTCAGTGTTAGCGCGGGCCCTAATTGATGATAGAAGGGTCTGCACAAATACCATGGCCTCAACCGTCTGCTATTTCTTCTTCAAGGATGGTCAAGAGCAGCGCACACGTGGTGCTAACGCACTCTGTGCTCTACTCCACCAGCTCTTTGAGGACACCACTCTTATCACTCATGCGCTCCCCAGTTATAAAACGTATGGGAAAAAGCTACGAGACGCATTCAGCGATCTGTGGGAGATACTGGTCAAGTCCGCCCAGGATCCAAAGGCAGGCGAGATCATTTGTGTATTGGATGCTTTAGACGAATGCGAGAAGAACGCAAGGAAGCAGCTTGTAGAGAAGCTTGCCCACTTCTTTTCCCAAGCAGTGTCTTTTCAGAATACGTCAATAAAACTCAAGTTCCTCGTTACTAGCCGTCCTTACGATGATCTAGAGCAGAGTTTCCGACCGCTTTCGGGTGTCAGCGCATATATGCGTTTTGACGGCGACGAGAAATCACAGAGGATCGGCCAGGACATCAATTTGGTGATTGACGCCAAAATCCCACATATTACGGGAGACTTCAGTGATGAGGACCGCCTACGTATCTCCAATCGTTTGAAAGAGATGGACAACCGCACTTATCTCTGGCTTTTCCTCACAATCGATATAATTGAGAACTCTCCGAGCAATTTCCGCAGGAAGTCGGACATAGATTTACTACTATCCAACCTGCCCTCGGAAATTTCTGACGCCTATGAAACGATTTTGAGTAGGAGTACAGCTAATACCAAAGCTCGAATCCTACTTGAACTCATTATCGCTGCGACGAGGCCCCTTAGCCTTGAGGAAGCAAATATGGCGTTGGCAATAGCAACTCGTGGAGAAAGTTGCAGATCACAGAGCGCCCTTGAGTTGTGGCCCCAACAGAGTTTTGCAGCTACTGTCAAAAACATGTGCGGCCTCTTCGTCAGCGTTCATGACGGAAAGCTATTCTTGATCCATCAGACTGCAAGAGAATTCTTGACTAGAACATCTAAACCGGCTAGTACCAACTCGCACAAATGGGAAGGACGCTTGGATATGGCAGCTGCACATGGCACAATGTCCCGAATCTGTCTCGACTACCTCAATTTCCAGGACGTTGCTAGTATCCATAAAAGCCATCTAGGTCAAGGTGGCTATGCCAGATCAAACAATGAATGTTACCTTCTCGACTACGCTGCTAACAATTGGCCAACTCATTATACTTCTCAACCTGCTGAGCTCGCCAAAGTTTCACAACAAGCTGCTATGAGGCTCTGCAATAAATCGTCACTACAATTATACTGGTTTGCAATCTATTGTGCCTCGACACACATACCCCCTTCAGGGTGGACCGGATTAGGGATTGCGTCTTTTCTTGGGTTCACATACGTTGCTGAAGGGTTCCTGAATGAAGGAGCTGATGTGAACGCTCAATGTGGAGAATTGGGTCATGCATTGCGGATGGCGTCGTTGGAAGGTCATGATGAAACAGTAGGAATGTTACTCCGTAGAGGGGCTGACATCAATCTTAAAGGTGGTATTTATCATGAAAATGCACTGGAGGCGGCGTCAGGCAGAGGTCATGATCAAGTAGTGCGAGTTTTGCTTGATAGTGGGGCTACCGATGTTGATGGAGAAGCACTATACGCGGCGTCACGCGGAGGTTTCATTCGAATAGTGCAGATGTTACTTGATAACAGGCCTGCTGATATTGATGAAAAAGCACTAAAGACGGCGTCATACAGAGATCGCAATCAAATAGTGCAGATGCTACTCGACAGTGAGGATGTTGATGGAGGAGCACTGAGAGTAGCGTCAGACAGAGGTGATAATCAAATGGTACAGCTGCTACTTGACAGTGGGGCTACTGATATTGATGGAAAAGCACTGATAGCGGCGTCAGGCAGAGGTCACAATCAAATAGTGCAGACACTACTCAACAGTGGGGCTGCTGATATTGATGGAAAAGCACTGTGCGCGGCGTCATCCAGAGGTTACGATCGAATCGTACAGATGCTACTCAACAGTGGGGCTGCTGATATTGATGGAAAAGCACTGTTAATAGCGTCACTTGAAGGTTACAATCAAATAGTGCAGATGCTACTCGACAAAGGGGATATTTTTAACGCTCAGGGTGAAGCGTATAACAGAGCACTATACGCGGCGTCATCCGAAGGTCATGATCAAATAGTGCAGATGCTACTCGACAGTGGGGCTGCTGATATTGATGGAAAAGCACTGCGCAATGCCTCATATCGAGGTTTCGATCGAATAGTGCAAAAGCTACTGGAAAAATGGGCTATTTATTACGCTCAGGTCGAAGCGTATGACGAAGCACTGTTGGGGGCGTCAAATCCCAAGGTCATGATCAAGTGGTGCGGATGCTGCAGAAAGCAAAGGCATCTGTACGATAGAACTGCGCTACATCTTGCCTCTGTCGAAGAATACAAAGCTCCTGTCAAACAATTCTTCAGGCTTGCATCAAATCAGAGTATCACCGAGCTGTAATGACGAAACTGTCTCCAGCTGCACCGTCCATCGATTCTACTGAACTGGTCCGGTTGGCTTCTGAAGAAGGCCTTGACTCCGATCTGAGTGATTGGGGTAATTGAACTCCTCTGCATCAGGCTGCTGGGAAGGATGTGGGTGCTGCATCAGGCATTGAGGCGACAAGTGAGCGGACTTCACGTGCGATTACAGCATATCACCACAGAGGATTATCGGCCATCTTGACGGCCGGCAGCCCCCAGTCGGGCCCGGCACTGATACCGACTTTCAGCAGTCTCAATTTTGAAGTGATGTCAACAAAGGGTGGGTGGACATAACGCCAGCCCAGCTACTTTGCAAGAGGGAAGTTACGGCGATGGCTGCTCCTTGGTACGCCGGCAACTGGAGATACTAATAGGCTTGTCTGACCCCAGGAGAATCAAATTCAACACCTTGCACGTCCTCGTCGCCGCCCCTTCCGCTCTTGAAACCAAGTCGGTATGGCGTCCCCGTCTTTCTCGCCGGTCGATGACCATCCAAATGTTCTTTTCAAGCTTGGCTTTTGCGATGCGATATCATTGCATCCTTCATCAGACTCGATGAGTCTTCACAGACCTTAGCATCGCTAGCACCCTTATGGACGCACCGCCTTGAGTATTTCATGATTCCGAGATGACTCCGAGATGTCGTGGTTAGCCAGGAAAGCACCGCCTGAGCTTTCCTTTGTATCAGACCCAACGGACTCTATCGAGTTCCAAGACACAACTATTAGGGACTCGACTCAACACCGAGCTGGGTCTCGAAGGGAAATTCTTGTGCACATGGGCAGCGTGGATCTTGAATGCGATCAGGTTTGGTATGTCAGTATGAGTAGGATTCAGAGGAGGCTGTGCCCGAAAGGCGAGATTATCTGAGCTATATCCATACATGCAGAGAAAAAGAGGTCGAAGAAGGATCTTATTGTGATATAACTCAGTTAGCAATATATTTCTTATAACACCTAGCCTCCTGTTCTAGTCAATCCATCCCCGCTATGCTTCTTCAACCCTCAACCAGACGTCCAAACAGCTCTCTTTATGACGAACACGGTACATTATCGTACCTTCTTCAGTGATTACACTTGGTCACGAACTACTCGAGAGTCGAACGATTGCATAGTAATGAGTGGCTCTCAAGCTAAGGTATACAACGACCGGACGCCCACAATTGAGATACCCGCATGTTGAATGTAAGGATGAGATAATTCTTCAACACTACGACAGCCAATTCTCATGTTCCGAAGCGGTGCAATCGTCTCCCTTCCACGTCCACATTGTCCCCACCGACGCGATTTAGTCCCGGCTGCATGTTCAGTCAAGCAAGCAACGCGCAACTACCAAATAGGAAAAGGCCAACCGGACTCCTTTCGCAACCCGCGCGTCATCGGATCTTCTACTATCACGAGCGGTGGTTGATAGTGACATGGCAACCGCCGCCGTTGTCCGTGCCAAAATTTCCCTTTATGACCGCCGCAACCATCCAAGATGTTTTGTGCAATGTCACGAATTGTCTGACCGGACAGAGGTGTTCCGGGCCTGCACCGTTGGTCGCAGACACCATGTAGCCCAGACACCATGTAACAGCTTCCGACGCTGGATTGGGTCCCGTCGGTGTGAGTCGATCCAGTGTAAATGTTGTTCAAAGCTGATTGGCAGTCGGTGACGCTGGGGGTGTAGGATGAGCCCTTGCAGCTAGAGCGAGAAATCGAGATCAGCAAAGGAACGTTGCGGGGTTAAGAGAGCACGAAGACAGCAGGGGCCTTCTCGCCACGTAATTGTTCGTATAGGTTGCTACGCCTGCGCCCATGGTGGCTAGGGCGGCCGAGGTGATGGTCATGAGAAGTGAGTCTGCATCTTGGATGGTGGGTGGGGGTTACAATGAGTTTCCTGATTGTTTGCGAGCTGGATGCTGATATGTGGAGATCTGAAGATGTTGGTGAGAATGTGAATTCGAGTATCTGAGTGCTGGGAGACCTTGGCCCTATTCATGGTAACATCAGTCGTCTAAGCCACCAGACTAGTGTAAGAAGCTGAACGTGTTTATCCCCAAATTAATGGCCCTCAACGTCTATGCCGATCAACGATCGCATATATCGACGTTCCCAAGGCTTGTTCTTCCATATCGATACAAGCCCGATCCAGCTGCGGATCGTCTTGGTCAGACTACCTACCTCATGTAATGTAACATGAGACCACCATCAAGGTCGTCTTATGATGACGAGTATGGTCTGTTAGCAGAATGTTGAGCAAGTAGATGACGCAACGAAGTCCATGAGCTGACTGGCCAAACTCCTTCCCTGCAATCCGGCAGCCCTTTAGACACACATCCGTCTTCAAAAGGAAACCCCGCTTTCAATCGGTTGGACAAGAGCAGTTCCCCCTGAGCACGAGCCGCTGATTCGAACAGCAGCGAGCAGCGCCAGCCTCGTGGGCACCCTCTACAGCCTCCTTTAAACGAGAGCTAAGTCTTCACTGCAACAGCCCTGCAGAAGATGGACTCGACTGCTTCATCAATCAAGGATGTTGGGTATTTCCCTTAATGCAACAATTCTATAGGAAATGAACCCGACTGCCTTAATGCTTACGGGTGTGAGATATTTTCTTTAGTGCAAAAATGCTGCAGAAATTGAAGCCGGCTATTACAACAGATAAGGATTTCAAGAATACTCCTCAACTCCACGATCTTGGTGTAAGAAGCTCTCTTCAGCGCAACAGCCCCTGTAGAAAACGGATCCGATGACTACAATAGTTAGAGCTAGGAACGGATTGAAATGCTTTGATAGTCAATGGTGTGAAGAAACTTCATCGATACAGGTCAAAGTTGGTGTTTTCCAAAACAAATCTGCACAGAGGAAATTTTGGGGTGTCAAAGATTTTCTTCCATGCAGGCCAAGGTTGCTGAGTCAATACCGCGGATATTGACTCAATCTAAGAGGGCATAGATTGTATCGAAAAAGCATACACGTATGAGATGTCTACAGTATATTAATTGTTCTTTCACCAGCCGACGTTCTCCCGGGGCACTTGCCGCCAGACGTCAGCCCTTCTTCCGACGTGCCTATAATCAAAACACGATATTAGAAAGTACTGCAATCAATTGTCCGGGCTTTTATACTTTGTGATGATGTCAATGGCTTCCAAGACTCTCTTCCGTGAGGGTATGCTTCCTTGCTGTAAAGTTGCGCTTCGTGTTTACATAGCGGAGCCTCCCTGAATCTTCCTATTCAAAAATCCTTTTGGTCTGCAGTCTATCCCATTGGCATTAGAAAACAGGGCTTCGTCAGTCACACTACCATCATCACAATGGGATCTATCGGAGAAGGCTTCACCTTCACCGTCTACAGAGGGTCTAAGGATGGTTCAATCGTCAAGTCGAGCACTCACCAGGACGACCTAAAAGGCGATCAGGTCTTCTTGAAAATTACACACAGTGGTCTCTGCGGAACAGACGAACACTATCGATCCGCAGACCAGGTTCTAGGACACGAAGGCGCAGGCATTGTGCAAGACGTGGGCCCGGATGTTCGCGACTTAAAGGAGTAAGTGCCCTTCCTTTCCCGCACGTCCAGAAGATACGTTGGCTGACTCCTGTTGTCAATAGAGGTGACCGTGTTGGCTTCGGGTATCTTCATAACAGCTGCGGCCGCTGCGAGCAATGTCTGACGGGCAAGGAGACATTCTGCCCAGAAAGGGTCATGTATGGCATGGGCGACTTCCACATTGGCTCCTTCGCCTCCCACGCCGTCTGGCGCGAGGCCTACCTCTTCAAGATACCCGACTCTATACCCAATGAATACGCAGCACCCTTAATGTGCGGTGGTGCGACGGTCTTCAACGCCTTAGAGATGTACGGTGTACGGCCTACCGACCGAGTAGGCATCATCGGCGTTGGTGGCTTGGGGCATCTCGCTATTCAGTTTGCCGCCAACATGGGCTGCGAGGTGGTGGTCTTCAGCGGCACGGATAGCAAGAAAGAGGAAGCCATAAGGCTTGGTGCTATGGAGTTCTACGCGATGAAGGGTATCGAAGGGCCAGAGCAGCTCCCCAAAATCAAACCGATCAATCACCTCCTCGTTACCACCAGCGCGAAGCCAGACTATGCCTTGTACTCGTCCATACTGGCTCCTGGAGCCACGATCTTCCCCTTGTCCGTCGCGGAAGGCAACTTTGAGTTCCCATACATGCCGATGCTATTGACCGGCGTTCGCGTGCAGGGAAGCGTTGTAGCGCCGAGGGCGATCCACAACAAGATGATGGAGTTTGCGGCGGTACACAAGATCAAGCCAATGATTGAGAAGTTCCCCCTGAGCCAGGAGGGCATTGAGAAGGCCTTCGAGCACCTGGATCATGGTGAAATGCGGTATCGAGGTGTTCTCGTTGCGCAGGATTAGAGGCGCAAGGTCGATGTACTTAAGACCCAAAGCGTAAAGCGTAGAGAGAGATAAATACATCATGATGCTGATAGAGTTTGATTCAACCTTCTGAGTTTCACCTACGGTAATCATGCTCCGGAGAGTCTACCCCGCTTTCCGCTCCTTAGGCAAAGTGGGTTGAAAGTTTAACATTGTGGGGTAGAAGTGACATGAAGGCATCAAGCTCCCTCTTCTCTCGCAAGAAATCATCCCGAGTCCGCTTCGACACCTGTAGGCTCTCAAGATGCGTAAAGTAATATCTTCTCTCTGGCTTTGTCAAGGATCTTTCAGTTCCGGAAGGACTGACAAGTGGCAAGACCTTCACACGTACCACCGTCCTGGTGCCCAGGTCGTGGCACAACACTTGAGTAGGAAAGGGCCAATCAGCAGCAGGCATTGACTGGAAGGCTGTACAAAGGATGCAGATCAATTAAGGCACGTGAGAAAATAAGCGAAAGGAAAGGGGTCAGAAAGAGCAGTGCTTGCGAAATGTGGCTCGGACTACATCTCCGTCGCCGATCTTCATGAAGTCATGAGGTAGCATTATTACCGTCAACCATCGAATTGTCTG